TGGGTGTGTTTTATTGCCTCTCTTTTATACTGTTTAAAAATTAATAAAAACCATTGAAATAGAAAAAAAATAAAGACATTCTCTTCATTATTCTCGTGAACCCAATTGGTAAGTTATGAGGCTTCTTTAATTTTATTGGCCCTTTAATGTTGAGCCGAAAGCAGAAAATTACCTCTTTCTTGTGGACTCGGAAAACCTCAGTAATTGCATATGTGTGCTTTAAACAAAGGGCCTATTCTGCGTGGAGTGAAGGTGCAGGCGTCTGCTGTTCTCCCAGAACGCATCGCAGGCAGTTTAATGGTGTCTGTACCATGAAAGAGAAATGTTTAGCAGAGACATTAAATTCTACATCTAATAAAAGCTTGTTTTCTTCTTCGTCTTCTTCCAGCAGTGCCATGACCATCTCTCACTTTCCCTTCACTGTGTTGTGAATTCGTTTTTACCATTTGCAGTCAGCCATGAACAGCTCCACCCAATGCTGTTGTCTTGTGTGCATTCGCTGTGAATTGGATTATTGGTCTGTTCCCAGCTGGGTGAATGGAAGCTTTTTGTAAATATAAGCCCACTTGTGTGTTTATAGCGGGTGTGTACAGGTGTATTGTTCATGTAGCTGTTGCTCATACAAGTTCTCCCTCAAGCAGATGAAGCATGATGACTTGAAACATGCAAAGCTAATTATGCTTCTAGCGGGCTACAGAATGCGGGTACAGAGACATATTGTATCTGTACTGAAAGAAACAGTTGGTAAATATGGAAGGTCTTACTGTGTTTGTGTTTTCTTTTTTTTTTTTTTTTTTTTTTTAAATAAAAAGCAGCCACAGTCTGAGTACAAAAGCCTGTACCCTGCCAGCATGCTACAGAGAAGGACTGTTCCTGTCTGTGTTGAAGAAGTGGTCTTTCTGCAGAGGTCCAACACCTTTCCTCATTGTTCCCCAATCAGCAAGCCTCATGCTCATTGCTGATTTGAAAGCTTCAGCTTTGACTCCGTAAGAGGTGTGTCAAGCCTCTGCAGAGGTACCTCTACTTCCACATACACCACAAAGGTCCTTATTTGCAGCATGTTGGCAGGGGACAGGTTGTTTCTGCTAAAGCTGGGGCTGTTTTCAACAGAAAATGAACAGTAACACTTGGAACCTTTTTTGATGCACCCCGAATGTATTATGCTGGTTTTAAGGCTAGGTTCACACCATAAAGATGCTATGTAACAGGTCCGTGTTGGGTAGCCTTGTCATTTTAATGGGTTGCCCTACATGTAAGGCAGAAAAGAAACCCCTGACCCCTTTCCAAATGTACACAGCACTGAACCACATGGTGTTGCGGCACTATGTGGTTTGGCGTGTGCAGGCTAGCAGGTGCATGGGGGGTGCCATTTCCAATTATTGGCACCACTGCATATCTGCTAAAGAACAGTATGTTTCTGTGTGTCCTGGGAAAGCACACAATTGTGTGTGTATTCCTGACATGCACAAGGTGTGAATCCAAGGCCGGAACTAGCCTATCTGGTATGGGGGTGCTGTACAAAAAAGGTAAGGGGCATAATGCCAGCACTCTGTGCAAGTCACTGAGAGTCTGTCACACAGTGTGACAACCTGGGAAACACTAGTATGTATTAGGCTGACACAGAACCTGTCCTCCTTTATATCAGATGTCCCTATCAGAGTCCCCCTTTAAATCAGGAGTCCTAATTCAGAGTCCCCCTTTACATCAGCTTGCCCTCTTAACATCAAGTGTCCCCATCAGTGTGCCTCCATCAGAGTTCCCCCTTACATCAATTGTCACCAACAGAGTATGCCTTTACATCAGGTGTCCCGAACAAAGTACCCTCTTACATCATGTGTCCCCACCAGAATGCCCCCTTACCTCATGTATCTCATCAGAGTGGCCCCTTATATCAATTATCCCCAACAGAGTGCCCCCCTACATAATATCATCCCCTCCCAGAGTGCCCCCTTATATCAGGTGTCTCCATCAGAGTGTCCCCCTTACATGGATTGTCCCCATCAGTGTGCCTCCTTACATCAACTGTCCACATCAGACTGGCTCATGGATTAGTGGATGCACAGCTAAAATCTGGGTGGGCACAGGCCACCCCAGCACCCCCCTAGATCTGGCCCTGTGTGAATCTAGCCTAAACTGAAAGCTCATTTGGGATTTAGGGTGATAAATGACTTCTGTGATGTCATTTTTTATTTTGGAATACTCCATTGGCATGATGTCATCTAGACCAGGCTTTCTTAGCCATGGTTCTCTGGAATCCTAGGGTTCCTCCAAAGATTGCTATGGTTTCCTTGAGCAATGAGTAATGTCTACCTCTCCTTTTGGTGACCACTGAGATCAACAAATTTTGTAGTTTTCTGTAAGGGCAGGATTTTATCCAGTGACCACAAATGTAAAGCGCATTCTTCCCACTAATGTACTGCGACGTGTAGATATAGTAATCATTAATAGATGTTCCCTGAGGCTGGAAAGTTATTTCAAGGGTTTGTGTTAAGAAGGTTGAGGCTTGATATGGGACGACCTCAAATACTCAGGCACAATCCAGTCCCTCTATTGTCCTTCCTTGGAAATCAGACTTTCCTACTGGGTTTTGTTTCGTCATTGGGTAGATCTAAAACTCACTAGTATGCGTTCCCTCCTCAAAGCGTGTGGCCCGAAGTAATTTCCCATTTTGCATACAGACTACAAATTACTGAATGCTGAATTATTTTGTTATTTGCAAGTCAAACATATTATTCAGTCATTGATCCCCTTCCCAATTCGAGGGACATCCTTTGAAAGGCACTGCCTTAATGACCCACAGCTCCTGGCAGGTTCTTCATTCCCCCAACTTTCCAACATGCAGAAATGGGAATCCGATCTAGGCATCTCTCTTAAGTTGCAGCAATGGCAGTATGAAGCAGATTATAAACTGCCGTACTGTTAGTACTTATTTCCGACTAGTTGCACAATACACTCCGGAGCATGCGGGGATCTGTTTTCGAGGTTGCTTGGACCAGGCACATACATTCATATATGTTGGAACTGCCCAGTTGCGCACACACTCTATGGACCCAGGTCTATGACATGCTACAAATACTCCTTGAGGTTGATGGTCCCGATGTTACCTAATGTGGTGATGCTCAATTGCAATCTGTCAGACCTACCTCTTGTCAGTATAGACTTATGACCTGTGTGCTCACAGCTACCAAATAATAGCTAAAGCGGATACCCTTTCACTCGAAGATGTGAATCTAAGGTACACTGGCTGCTCACAAATGAAACCTTGACTGTCAAATCTGACACCATGGGTACCTCACATAAAACCTGCTAACCCTGGATCTCCAAGTTTATGCCTTTTGGGCTTTGATTGCCATCTACTGGACCTCTAAGTGACTCCCCTGCAGTTGTAGGATTAAGCCAGCCATATACAGTTTGAATCTTGCCTGGTTCAGCGGGGACTGGCTTAAATTCCAACAATGTATAGGCTAAATTTACCTAAGTTGATCGATCAATCAACTTGGGTACAACCAGCCTGTCGAGTTTTACATTCGAATATTGCCGGGAGAACACAGTGGTTAAGTGGTTACCATCTGGCAGCACTAGGGTCACCGGTTTGTATCTCAACCATGACACTACCTGCCTGGAGTTTGCATGTTCTCCCTGTGCCTGTGTGGGTTTTCTCCAGGTACTCGAGTTTCCTCCCACACTCCAAAGACATGCTGGTAGATTAATTGGCTCCTGTCTAAATTGGCCCTAGTATTTGTATGTACTGTATTAATGTGAGTTAGGGACCTTAGATTGTAAGCTCCTTGAGGGCAGGGACTGAAGTGAATGTTCAATAAATTTGTAAAGCGCTGCGTAAAAACTGATAACACTATATAAGTGCCTGAAATAAATAAATAAGAACACAATATCTCTGTGATAGGAATTCCCCACAGTCAGTGTTGATGGGGAAATTGAGCAATTTTTTTTTTTTTTTTTCCCTCTAACTATGGCTTTACACTCGTCTTCTGCGGTGTTCCCTCCCTACCTTTCAACCCCTCCTCCCATTTCTCTCTCCTTCTTCCCTACTCTTTTTGTAAGTCATTTGCACAATTGTTGACTTTATGACAGAGCCCTGAGGTCATATACTAGCCGTTACCTCTTATACTGTATTACCTGCACCTGCCGTAGGTTGACAACCAGTATACCGTAGACCTGCGTACCTTTTCTCAATCTCAGGTTTTTTGCACTAGATCTTTATTTGTTGTTTTGCGGAAAGCCTTATTATTATTGAACAGAAATTCTGAGGCTGATCTAGACATTACACACTATGCAGACTGATATCACAGTACCACACCCCTACCTTCAATCTGCTGTAATTAGAGCAAGCATTTCCCAGCAAGGAGCTCATTGGCTGAGATAAGTCTGCGGTTATAATATAAATTAGAAAATAGTTCATAAAAATATTCCTGTTTGTAGTAATCTCTAGAATTCTTGACCTGTCCAGTGTGGGTCACATGACCAAGGTTTATCATAGATGATTTGGCAGATTCGGCCAGGCAATGCCTTTGCTTGTTCATTGGTCCTTTTTCTTTGTCAGGTAACACATGGACTGTATGATGGCTTTGGTCAGGTGACCCCGGCACCAGAGGGTTGCCTAGGGTGGCATATTTCTTTAATATTATTATTATTAGGTTGGTGGAGAAAGGGGTGTGTATAAATTAGGATATGGGTGAGCTAATCTAGTGAAGGTGCCATAGCCATTAGGTGATTAATTATACAGTCCTGCCAGTTGTAGACTGGGTGAAGGGCGGTAAGTCTTCTAGAGACCAAAGCAGGCAGTTGCAGGGGATGAAGAATTTATTGGCAAGGCTGAATATATTGGCAATTATATGCAATAAAATGTATGATCTATGAGGTATGAATCATGGCATTAATTAGGCAAAATTGTATAAATGGAAAGATAGTAAGGGACTGCATAGCGGAGTATGGCCATACTGGAAAATTACAAATATATTTTGCTTCTTTTGTCTCTCCAGAGTGCCCATCTTGCTGTCATTGACTCTCTTATGATTGTGTACTCAAGCCACTGCTCAGAGTCCTTACCTGCCAATGAAGAGCCTGGCCTGGCTGGAGTGGAGAGTAAGCTGCTTGCCTGGGTTGATAAGGTAGGTCATCAGTTATTATTTTCTTTTCAATTAGGTTACCTCTTTTTATATCTTAACCACTTGCCTCCAGAGGATTTACCCCCCCCCCCCCCCCCCCCCCCCCACCATACTGACCAGACCATTTTTTGTGATACGGTGCTGTGTTACTTTAACTGACAATTGCGCGGTCATGCAAAACTGTACATAAATGAAATTTGTCACTTTTGTTCCCACAAATAGAGCTTTCTTTTTGGTGGTATTTGATCACCGCTGTGTTTTTTATTGTTTGCACTATAAACAAAAATATACCGACAATTTTGAAAAGAAAACCAATATTTTTAACTTTTTGCTATAAAACATATCAAACAAGAAAATGGAAGAAATCAAATTTCTTCATAAATTTAGGTCTAAATGTATTCTGCTACATGTCTTTGCTCGAAAAAAATCCCAATACGTGTAAATTAATTGGTTTACGTGAAAGTTATAGCGTCTACAAATGGTGGTATTAATACTGGAATTTTTATAATTTTTTTTTTTTTTATACTAGTAATGGTGGCGATCAGCAACTTATAGTGGGACTGCGTTGGGTATTCTGACACTGGGGGGGGGGGGGGGGGGGGGGGGTTGGGGGGGGGGACTGACTAACTGCCACTGACATCCCCAGTGACACTAATATAGTGATCAGTGCTAATAAAAAGCACTGACACTGTACTAATGACACTGGGCAGGAAGGGGTTAACATCTGGGGCAATCAAAGGGTTAACTGTGTGCTGTGTGTGTTTTACTGTTTGCTGTTTTGTATATCTCTCTGGTGACACTGTACTGCTAGGGTGACAGTATGTAAAAAAAAAAAAAAAAAACACCCCATAAATAATAATATAAAAAAAATAAAAATGTAAAAAAAATGTTTAAAAATTATAATTTTTTGGTTATAAACTAGTTTGGCTTTTTTTTTTTTTTTTACTAAAAAGATAACGGAATACATTTTGGCCAAGATTTATGATGAAAGATTATTTATTTGCAAAATTTTGAAAGAAAAACACTTTTTTCAAAATATTTTGACTTTCATTTACAGAGCAAAAAAAATAAAAATCCCAGCAGTGAATAAATACCACCAAAATAAAGCTTTATCTGTCTCCAAAAAAATGGTAAAAAATTCATATGGGTACAGTGTTGCATGACCGCACAATTGTCATTCAAAGTGTGATAGCGCTGAAAGCTGAAAATTGCCCTGGACAGGAAGGGGGTATAAGTGTCTGGACTGGAAGTGGTTAAACTTTGTTAAAATAGTAAAATGACAAGTCATTCATTTCTATGCACCTTTGTAGGGACCATCAGTGACTTCAGATGGGTTCCAGTGCTTTCCTGAAAAAAATGCAGCATGTCTGCATTTTTATGCAAAGTGCTGCAACCCACCTCAAGGCAGGGTTGTAATGCGAACAGGACACTTTGAAAACGATTCTTCTAGTGCCTTTGTGGTGACCAGCGTTGATCAGGTGCAGAAAAATACACATGCAAGTCATAAGTCAAGCTGAATACCTTTTGTGATATGTTCTAGAACTAAGGGGTCCATTTATCAATGTTTTTACCCAAGATTCACGCAACTTTCACCCAAGATGTACCGATTTTCTGCATATTGATATTGGTGAATGTTGTGTGGATATTGGGTAAAAAAAAATTGAAAAATAGACCCTTAAATGTACTAATTTTACCATTCACATATGGAAATAGAGTTTTTAAGGCTTTTAAAAACTCATAAATGGCTTATTTTGGGCTCTTTCAGACGGGTGGTTGGGGGTGGAAGAGACAGGAGGCTGAGCCACGGTTTTACCATTTCCTCCTTACAGTTGTGTGATGGACTATCTCTGCTGTCTGTCGTCTGGCTGTTGCTTGTCAGTTGACACGTCTGCTCATAGCTTCGTCCTAGGAAAGAAATTCTCAACATTTATAATTTTTACCTTGGGCGCATAATCTGCGCTTACTAGCGGTTGTATAACAAAGTGATCTTTGGGGCATACAATTTAAACCTGGACCTGCTTCTGTCAATTGTAAGGTGTCAGTGGGATACTTGCACCTGTTTCAGGAGACAAGTTCTGACAAGAAAAGGAATATCCAGCTTGGTCAGGAAACCTTATAATACATCAAAGTTTATATACAGTATATCTATCCCTATACATATCTCCTTATATGTTGTTTTGTTTTTTTTGTTTTTTTTTTTTTACCAGATAAACCGCCAACTGTTAGAGGAGGCAGAGAGGGAACAAGGACGGAAACAACTATCTGCCCCAGAGGGATCAAACCAGGCTGGGGTAAGTAACACGAGACTACTTAACATATTTCTGTTTGTGTGTGTGTGTGTATGATCCTAAACGTCCGGAGCTATCTCTGTCTATTTGTACCCTGGAGGTGTAAATCTGGATGTTACGTCATGTGCCTGGTGCCCACTTTCTATATGCTCTATATGTTTATACAGCAATCTGCTGTATCCTGTACAATCTCACTCTTTAGTCGCCCTCTTTCCCTACCGCCAAACTTCGTCATAAAGCTAATTTTTGTCATTTTTTCCGGTTCTGTAGATATCTGACTCAATGGACAGTATGTATTATAGGATACGCTTAGATTACCTCTTCCTGTCTGCTGGTCTGTCTCTCAGCTATGTTTTCTCAGATTCTTCTTTTTTTTTTTTCCCCCCTTCACCCTCCTTTTTGCTCCCTTTGATCCACCTTTGCTACCTAGTACTCTTGACTCCATGTAATGTTTCTGTTGTTCTTTTTATCTGTGCACATATCCCTGTTACTCTCTGTGCACATGTCCCCATTACTCTCTGTGCACTTACCTTTGTTACTCTCCAGCGTCTTCATTTTTCATTTTTTAATCGTAAAGGAATTCTTTCCATGTTGGCAAATTGGAACCCTTTTGAAGAACTGTCCGTATAGTAACACATCCCTTAAGGATAAATTCCAGGCATGGTATATTTTTACATAGTTACACTGGTCCAGATTGGACCAATGTAACTCTGTATATACCATACCTGGCTGATGCCCCTGGAGGCTGGAAATCATTGAAGCAGACACCACTACTCCACTGATCTCCACTTGCTTCTGGATCCCATGCTGAGCGGCTGGCCTGATGCATCCTGACTACAGGAGGTTGGCTGCTCAGCACAGACCCCATTCAGAGAATGCCTTGCATTTTCTAAATAAATGCAAAACATTCTCTGATTGGAGAGCTTAATGTGGATGGGATGATGGAAATTGGATGCTTCTCCATCTTGTCCAATCATAGAATGCTTGGCCTTCATTCCAAAAAGGCAAACCATTCTCTGCATGTCACCCATGCTGAGCTGGCAACTTCCTGTATTCACCATTCATCAGGCCAGTTGCTCAGCTGGTGGCCCAGAAGCAAGTGGAGATCACTAGAGTAGGGATGTCTGCTACAGTGATTTCCAGCTTCCATGGACATTGGCCTGGTATGGTATATACATAGTTACTTTTATCCACGCTGGGTCAATGTAACTATGTAAAAATATACCATACCTGGAATTCTTCATAAAAGCCCAGCTCCAATTTAAATTTTTTTATTTGGATAGCATATGGAAAGGTTTTTATTTCTGTCAGTGCCCCAATTGGGAAGATTCCCCCATTACTTTCTGTGAGGACAGTAGAGCATTAGAAGGATGAGAGCGCCACAAAGTTTGGTTAGGTCCAGTAAGAATTTTTATATTTTGTGATATATAATCAAAAATCAAACATATTACAGGGGCTCAGAACCCTCCTTGCTTGCCTTGCTTTTATTCTATTCTTTTAGTATGGCAAAGCTTCTCAGATACATCAGGTCAAGCCATCACATAAAATCATCCAGCGTATCAAAAAAATGAAATGAATCAACTCATATTAGGTAAGTATGACATGAAAGAGACAAGACCAATGAATACAATTGATAACTTCACATCCACAGCTTTGCATGTACTACCAATATTACACAACAGGATAATGGGGTCACAAGGCCCATAAGAAAAAGTACTAAAATCTGTCAGTTAAATCAAAAGTTATGGAGCTGAACTAATGAATAAAGCAAAGAGAAGTATGTTGAAAAATCCAACACTTAAGATTCACATAGTTATCAAATGTATTATCATGTGACTCATGACGTTTGAGAAGTCAACCAACTTTTATTTTGCATCATAAGAAGTAATTAGCAAAGAGAAGGCAGAGACAGGGGGAAGAGGGAGCATAAAGGCCATAAAAAAGGGGGGGGTGGATATAATGCTTGAACATGCAGATCACACTGCAGATGGGTAATGCGACAGGAGACCCATAAGCTGAATATGGGCCACTGAATGGTTCAGCTCAAGGTAGGCTCTGATCAGACAATATCCTGTAGGTAAGCTTCCATACACTTAAAGAATGGCGATTTGTAGGCGCCTGGAATGCATTGAATAGTTGATTACATGTCAGGAAAAATAAAAATTCTCACAGGACTTAATGAATAAGTTCAACTTTTCACAAAAAAAAAGTCAAAAGGTGAACTTACTCCAAATATCCTGGCCACTCCACATAGCGGCAGTGAAGACCAGTGGTGCCGGTGTAGCAGAACGCACACCGCAATACACAACCCTGGAGTTAGTATCCATCATAATGTTCGCATGATGAGCGCTCACTTATTAGCTTAGCCACGTGACTGTGCTAACCAATGAGAAGCGCTTCTGAGGCTTCCTCTTCCAGTAAGTTGTCCCAGAAGAAAGAGGTGGTTTTCATTGGCCAGCGGGTGTTTTCCATTGTGCGCATTATGATAGATACATACTTCAGACTTGTATATTGTGGTGTATGACCATTACACCAGCAGCACAGGGGAAAATGACTGCTGTGCGCAGAGGGTCAGGAGGGGTGAAAAGGATATTTGGAGCTTAACTTACCCTTTAAGCTTTGTAGCACTCTTATCCTTCTCCATTCCCAGACTATTTCAGGGACCCTTTGGTATATCCCAGGTGACAGCGGGCTGCCTTTTGAATGTTATTTTTTTTATCTCCTGATTTCTGTCTAATAGTGGAACACTGAATCCCATATTAGACCGAATGGCAATGTTCTTATTGCTACCCATGCCTCTCTGTCCCAGTGACAACTTCATTTCGTGTAAGGGTATCACTGGGACAAGAAATGATGGAAATTTTTCCAATGAGGTTACAGACAGAAATAAACACCCAGAAAAAAATTTAACTCACTTGAAAAAAAGGGCTGCAGTTGGTTTTTACTATCTTTATTCATTTTCCACACTGCTCCAATATTTGCTTGATGGACCAAGTCTATCCATTTGTGTTGACCGTGCTTCTCAATGTGGCTTACTAGGGATGAGAAGTGATGTCAATTTTAATTTTTGATCAGCACTGGAGGTAACAATGGTCCTGCCAATCCTGGGAATCCTGAAGGCAGGGAACCTTAGTGTTATTATATAGAGGACCTGTAGCAGGATGGTTTGCTTTTATCATCTTAACATTTGTGCTGTTGTTTCAGGTACAAAAAAAAGAAAAGCTGTAAAATGTTTTAATTTTTGGCACCAATAACTGTTATGGCAGTAAAATTTTGTCCCTAATATGCATTTGACACTAATGGTTTTTACTATATGTGACATTTTTGTGCACATTTGGGGCCCATTTACACCTTCCCCATGTGTTGCGTGAATTAGAACATTATGATAGCATTCTCTTTAAACAGCACCCACGCACACTAAAGCAATGCATGAGTTGAAGTGCATCACAATTTTTTTTTTAAGTTATGGTGTATTGCCACACCATTCATTTGCATGAGCTGTCTTAAAGGATCACCAGCATTGTAGCATTGTACAGGGATGAAAATGTCTAATGAGCCGCACAAACTCTGCAAACCCCAGATAAGAAAGCATAATAGCCTTAGCCCAGTCTCCAGCCAGGCCATGCTCCCAACGCATTTCACTCTATCCCCGGAGCTTAATCATGAAACCCTTTGGGAGTGTAGCCTGGCTGGAGCTTAGGCTGAGGCCATTACACTTACTTACCTGGGGTTTGCAAAATTGTGCAGGTCATTAGACATTTTCTTCCCTGTACATTGCTGTCTGGAACCGAAATGAGCTCCGTCCTAGCCTGCACTCCCAGTGGTTAGCTTTATTGATTGGGATCCTTACAGCCTGAGCGGCATCCACAACTTTGGTTTGGGGTCACCTTATGGAGCATGTTACACATGACACCCATATTTAGGGTGGTGTCACAGGTAACATCATCCAGTACATGTCCTCCTCACCCCCCCAACCACGCCCTCCCTCCTTCCTCGTGACAGCAGGCCAACAACGCTTTCACATTTTGAAAACTCCACCCGCACAGCTGCGTCATTCATTCGAAGCAATCTGTGAATAGCATAACTGCAAATCCCACCTTCCACTGCAACAGACGGCTTGTAGTTCTGGATAACCTGCAAGGGGGCTGATGAGAGCAGTCGTAGTTCATTCACAAGCCCTACAGCTAACTGACAGCCATGCAGAGGTACGGGCTGAAAGCTGCAAGGCTTGTTTTCAGGAGATTTCCATTGCGCCCCTGATCCACTGATCACGGGTGCAATGCTTTATAAATGTACATTAGTTTTTCTGGAAAAAGGTTTGCAATTATTATTATTTCTTCCCAAAAGGTGAACTTAGCTTTTAATGCAACACATGTTAACACATGAGAAAACAAAACACACCAGGACATTAAGGTCTTAATAGGCCTTACAAAGCCAACCCTTAAATTATCACACCTAAAACACTACATCTCAGTTACTTACCTCTCTAGACTCTCTAAGTTTCAACCCAAAACTTATCCCTAACCCTTAAAGTTTAAGAAAATTTTCAAAAAAGCATTTTTGAAAATTTCCTTTTCACCTACCTTCAGTGAGCTAAGCAATCCCACCCTCCCCATCTTAATACTTTTTGAGTTGTGTCCTCTCCTTGAAAAAGCAAGTTTTCTGGCCTCCTCTGGCCTTAATTCAGCAAGCAAAGTTAGAATTTGCGCATACTGATTCTAGCAAAGTCTTGGTTACTGAACCCAGAGGCATTAGCATGGCATCGTGGAAATTAGCAGTCACAGAAGGAATGATCAGTAGTGGTGACCTCTGTATTTCTCTCATGAGGGGCTTCCTTTAATCTGAGTTTGACTTATAAATTTAACTCTAGCTAACCGCCAGGTATGATCTGTAGGGCAATCTTACAGTTCAGCTTTGACCAAAGTAAGGATGCAAATCTCATAATAGAGGGACCTCTGAGGAAGCTCACAATCCATGAATCAAAAATGATCTATAAATGGTGGAGGGGACCTTTTTTTCTTCTGCCCTTCCTCCATTCATAGAGTGCTTTACATTGAAGGATGCTATAGTACAGCTTCTAGGAATGGAGAAGTGTGGACAGGGTAGGCAAAGTCAGCACTCTTGATGAGTGCATATGTCACATGTTCCTCGGCTCCTATTAACCCCCACAGCACTAGAAGTCTATCATTGGGAGGTAGGGGGGGACCAGAAGACTGAAGATTTCAACTAAATCCACAGCCACCAGTACAAGGAACACTTCACACCGATTATAAGTACTGTCCCTTTGTGCTTTTATTTATTTATTTTTATGTGTCTAGTCTTAGGCTTTAAGCTCAGCCCTGTTCATAGCACTGATATTGTCACACCCACTGTTATAATGCCTCATACAGATACAGGAAGCTTCCATGATGGAACATCACAATTTGCAAGTTGAGGATTCTATGCTGTAGAATGCTGACCAAAATTACTGGCCTTGCATACAATGCACCAAATCATCTTTAATAAAAATCAAAAATGTTCCTAAATGTCCATGCCAACTGATCTGGTAGCAGGGGTGTCCATTTTGTTACACTTGAATACCCCTATATATTTTCCTTTCCTGAGTCTTTTGTCTTGGTGTCATTTTGCTTTTTCTGTAAATCCCCCTTTCTAATAGCTTTTCTTGGCTATTTCTAATCTACCCCCATATTTTCCTGGCCTATTTACCCATTATGTGTATTCATGAGAACGGGTGTACAGGTAATAGTTTGTTCCAGTTTATCCATCTCTGACATGTTTATAGTGGGCATGATTAAAAGATTATGGCTCTTTTTGTATTGGCTATAGTACCCTGTACACCAGTTTTTACAGATGCTTCTCCTGATCTTTTCTCTAGTCATGGTTTGAGGTGTATCATGTATGACCTACACACGGTTTGAAGGCAGTCATTCTGTAGGACCAAATCCATTTTTTATAAAAATGTGGCCTGTAAGTCCAGGGGGACACAGTTCAGGCACCATCCAAAATGACTGCCATCACCGAGCGTAGGCTGACTCTGTTCTAGATCTCCCTTATCTGGTTTCCTTCTACTGCCCCCATCTCTCTGGTGTCCTGTACGTTTCTCTTCGTTACTCCACCCTGCCATATTTTTCTCTTTCTCTCCAGTGCCCCTCCCGCTGGTACTGGAAGCTGGTCCCTGTAAGTGGCTTTTCTTGTTTCCTTTCCCTTTAAAATCCTGAGTGCCAGTTATACTTCTTATTTTGGCATACGTGTGCTCCCTTTACTATTGGTCCATGCCTGTGCGGTTGTTCTGTTATGCTTAAGAATGCATGTGCAATATAACAAGACCAGGGTACTTGGCAAAGGGTTGTGGGATAAATTATTGCATTTTTAATTTTTTTTTTTTTTTTTTCGTATGCATGCTTTAGCCCCTTCTGAGTTTTATTTTAACTTTTTCATTTGTTTCCATAATTACCTTTTCGATTTGCTTTAGTAAGAGCCGAGCTTTTTAATTTCTTTTTTTTTTTTTTCTTTTATTTTTCAATTTTGTCTTATTTTGTCCTTTTTTTATATTTTATATTATTTTAGTTCATTTGTTGTATCCCAGAATCCTTTGCAGCCAGCCTGTCCTCTTAGGCCATAGAATGTTGGGACTGTTGTAGTAAAAAGTGGGAAAGAGTTTTCTAAACTGCCCTCTCTAGCTGTCCCAGACCATTATTGTTTTCTTTATGAAATGAATATCACGGCTAAGAGGTGATGCTTTAATAGACCCAGTCCGTGTCTCAGTTTGATTAAATTCATCGTGGCATGCCTGTCATCTTGTATTCTTTTTTTATCTCCATGTTTTTGTGAGAGTGATGGTGCAGTCATTGAGGGTTTAAAGCAGCAATGTCCTGTTTTAGTATGTTAAGGTAACCAGTGGTTTTATTTTACTTGCTAGCCCTGCAGCTACAGATGAACTGCAAGTCATGCATTGTCATCTGATGGCATTCCTATTAGATGTGTAGAAACCGGTTAACCAAGACTGACCAAATGTGCAGTGTCTGGTTAGCCCAAACAATTTATTGCAATACGGCCTTTGAACATGCATTTAGTGTAAAGTGTATTTAATGCCAACTTTTTTTTTATTATTTAACTTTGATTAATGTGGTGCTGTCACTACAGGATCAAACTAATGTAAGCCCAGACTGTGAAAGAAGAACCTTTCTCGAGGTCCCTGTGGTACTACTCCACCACATTGGTAATGACTGGCCACTGCAAGTATCCAATACTTGTCAAATACTGCTCCCCCTGCCGCATGCTGTGGTTCCACCCGTTCTACATCACTACAGTAAATACAGGCTGGTGGGAGGAACCACAACATGGAGCAGGGGATTTAACATACAGACTGCTGGAAAGGTAATAGTAAACTGCATTTTCTTTTACTGATTGGTTTATGTTCTTTTTAATCATGTAGTGACAAGGACACTTTAAAATAGGGAATAATTAAAACTTATGTCAGTTTTTTTCATCTCTTGTTATGCCCTGTTGGCGAGATTACCCTGTCCTGGAGGGACAAAGGACAAGTGGGGAAATAGAATCTTCTCTGTGGAGATAGAGCAATAAAAACCTGACAGGGGTTCTAACTGTTAGGAAAGAAAGTGTTTGGCTTTAGTTACACTTTAAATGTCTGGAATTAAAAATAGGTCACATTATAACAACAGTATGGTATTTTTTTACTATGTATATGGAGTGATTGTAGTAACATTGTAAAATATGACTGTACTCTATTACTATTTATCACCACATGCTCTTTCTCTGAGCTAATTTATTATCAGCTGTATAAGTGATGTAATGTTGCCCATGGAGCTAAGTAGGCTCATTGTTCATTTACTGCTGGAATTGTATTGGTTGCTGAGGAGTGTAATGGCATCCAATCTTCACCAATTATAGGTTTATTAAGTGCAACCTCTCATTTATTGATTTAGCTGCTTGCATTTACAGTCTGTAAGAGAGTTGCATGTATTATTTTTTCCTTAAGGCTCGGTTCACAGTACTGTGACCTGAAAGTTGTATGACTTGCGGTGCGACTTTTCCAGGCAACTGCCCAGCGGTTTGCTGGCGACTTGAGTATGACTTTGATGCGACTTGATGTGCAACTTTCATGCCGTGTGACTTTGCCTGGGTAATCTTCCTGTAATGTTGGATCCAAATCACATCAATATAGATGAGGATCTGACTTGGAAGTGACTTCCATTAAAGTCTATGGGCACAAATCGAATAGAAGTCGCCTTGAAGTAGTACAGGAACCTTTTCTAAAGTCGGAGTGACTTCAGTAGTGCTAGCAGTGTGAACCGAGCCTAAAAGTGAACTAAGGCCCCTATCACACGGATGATCCAATCGGATCCGCCTGTCAGTTTTTCAGGTGGACCTGATCAGATGGTCCATGCATTCCTATGGACCTGTGAGTGTAAACGGACTTGTGTCCATTTACACCCACCTACCTCCAGGTCAGATCAGGCCCATAAAACAAAATGGAGGAGGACTGCGTCCTTTTCCATTTGGGCGGACTATATCAGAGGCAACTGGGTGTAAACAGACAGCAGAGTCTGTTTACACCCTACCGCCTTTAGAGCAGAGTGGGGTCCGTCTATATCCACTCTGCTGAAACTGAGCAGACACGGGTCTGTCATCCACCCTTCTCTGCTCCAATCAGCAAACCGCTTGTGTGAAAGGGCCCAAAGCCTTTAGGGTCCTTTCATTCATTCAGACTTTCTGATCAGGTCCACCTGTCAGCTTTTCAGGCGAACCTGATCCGAAGCTCCATGAGGGGGTGGATGTAAACGAACATGTCTGTTTATACCCTTCTACTTCCAAGTCCGTCCAGGTCTGAAAAAAAAAAAAAGGCAAAAGCATTGCATGGTGGGGGTCAGCACTAAGGCTAAAGAGTTCATGCCAAACACTATGTCCTCAGTGCAGCTCAGTATCACGGAGCCTTTGGTTTTATGAGGCTCAGCGTTACTAAGCTCCCTGACCAGCCATTGTACCACAGGGCCTCATACAGCCAACCTGACAGGCCCCCCCCCCCCCCTCCAAAAAAAACACAGTTTACTAGGCTTTGTTTATGAATGAACACAGTGAGTGATCGGTACCAATCACTCATTGTGTTCATTCAGGAAAGGAAGGGGCTGGTAAATATGACATATTACCCCCACTCTCCATCCTGAAGGATCCTATTGTGTGCTTTCAGCTGCCGGTGATAAGGAGAAGACAGAAGCCAGCAGGACTGCAGAGTGGGGGGCACACAGGGGGGCTTGGGCAACAGGAGGAAATGTATGGTGTACAGCACAGGTGTCAAACTGGCGGCCCTCCAGCTGTTGCCAAACCACAGAGAGGCATTGCAAGATTGACAGTTACAAGCATGACTCCCAAAGGTAGAGGTATGCTGGGACTTGTAGTTTCACAACAGCTGGCGGGCCACCAGTTTGACATCCCTGGTGTACAGGGAGGGTGATGGGTGAGGTGGGGTGGCAATTACTGGAATCAATCCTCTGTATGGCTCTCCCTGCTTCAGCTGAAAACCAGCAGGAGGGAGAGGAGCAGAAGCCAGCTTTCAGCTGCTGCAGAAAGATCCATACAGGGGATCAGTTCCAGTAACTGCCCCCATGCTGTGCTGATTACTCTCCCTGCCCACATCCGAGTCACCTAGTTGCCTGGGCCCCCCTGCTGGCCTGGGCCCCGTACAGGAGGACTGGTGGTACCCCCTTATCCACGGCCCTGATTGCGCCCGTGTCAGAGGTAGGTAGAGCGGCTGAGGCACTTCAGTGATGCAAAGCCTGTTAACCGCCATCAATGGGCATAGCATTGCCGACCGCGGCACCGGCCTGTGTAACAGACGCAGCGTCAGAGACTTGGTGATACAAAGCCTGCACTTCTTCCAGGCTTTACCTCACTGAGCTGACAAATGACCCTCTCGGGTGGCTTCCTAATTGTGCCACGTCGTGTCGTGCCATGTCACTGATACAGGCCAGTGAGGGGTTAATCCTCCCCACAGACTGTGATATATAAAAATCTGACCGGGGCTCTGACCATTTTCTGCTGCATCCAAAACTCGGTAAAATGTGGGTTTTAATATCTGAGGTATTCATGCCAGTGTTCAGTTCAGGATAGAAGGCAAATATTCTGTTGTTGGTTCCGTCTCATGTCTGGTGTCTCCAGACGGCATCAATACGCTTTATTGCACAGAGGGGCCTACACAACAGAAATGCAGCATTTTGCCCTGTTATATTGTGGATCCACTCATGGTTTTTTTTGTTCCCTTCAAGAAAAAAACCCGAAAGTCTTCCTTTTTATAAATGAATAATTACACCAGTCTGGTTAAGCTCCCGAGATCTGATATCCTATATATTTACCCTCCCCCTTCCTTTTTATCATGGCTTGCCTCAGGCTAGCAGCCATTTTAGTCTCTCTCATTATACCAGAGGTGCTTATGGCTCTCCCCAGACAAGTGTACCGCTGACTAAAACAAGGACACTTCTGCTCTAGGCCCTGCTGTCCAGACTCTCTGTCTCTCTGTCATTCCCCCTGATATGAAGCTGCCCTGACTTTCTCCGTTGCTCTTTTCCGTTGCGTTTAGCATGCCATCGCTTTTTGTTTAAAGGAGTCTGGGAATAAGCCTCCTGTGGTAACGTATTGTGCACGCCATCATTTTCCAGAATTCTAAAATCTTAGATTTTTTTTTTTGGTATAAAAACATTTATTGTAATTTTTTTCTTTATTTAGGTCAAATCTGAATTTCTTCCTTTTATACCATGTGGTACAAAAAAATTTTTTTTTCAGAAGTATACCGCTAACGTCTTTCTGCTATCATTTCGCTATGCAGAAATCTAGATTTGCATATTTTGTGATGTGATATCTCCTGGTACAAAATTTGCAAGGAAACTTCCGCTGTCAGGTGTTTTACAAAATAAATAATGGAGCTTTCTAAAGAGTGTTTGTTTGTTTTTTCTAGTATATTTTTTTTCTCGGCCTTGTCACCTGATCTGGGTTACATGAGGTAAAAAAATAAACATGGAGTCTTGTGAACTGGGCCTGACCGGTGCACTGGAACAATGAGACAGTACTGTTGCCCAGAGCAACCAATCGGAGTCTAAGATTTGTCTAGCCTCAACTGGAAACGTGAAGTGGGATCAGGCTGGTTTCCGTGGGCAACCCATCCAGTTCTCTCCAGGTCCTATATATTGACCTTCTGGGCCTTTGTTATCCTTCTGTACGGAGCTGGCCTAAAGAGATCCTTTCCTGAAAGAAAAACTGGAGCTGCCATTAATTATTTCTTTTACAAATTCTAGTTTCTTGGCCCTTATACTGACTCAGTACTCTACATCTGATGTTTTTTTTTTTTGTTTTTTTCTTTTTGTTCAGCTTGCCGGATGAATGCGAGAAAATAGGTTGCCTGTCCCATCCATGCTAAACAATGTGGATGGAGCAATCTCCACTGATAGCTATTGTATGCAGCGACTGCGACACCCATGGGTGCCCAACTGCTTCTGATAGGATAGAATTTTCCTCCTGGCTCAGTTAGTATTAAATTCAACTTTGGTGAGCCAGATGTGATTGCAGGGCCAAAAACGGCATAGATTTGGCTAATTGTAGCTGGGTCCCTCACAGAGCAGAGCAATCTGAGGGACCCAACAGGCCCACCCACTACAGGCTGCCTACAGGAAGGGGCAAAGACCAAACCAATCACGCCACACAAGGTGAGCGGGCAGAGAGCGGTCTTTATTGCAGGAAGTTCCTGCTTTGAGGGAAAGTTTCACCCTGGACTATGCACAGATCAGGAAGAAATCCATAAAGTACACCCAAGATTCAAGTAAGAATTCATAGGACTCTTGGATGTCAACAATATTTGCTTTTCCAGGACTTCAGCTTTAAAGCCAACCTGCCACCTAGAATGGCAGCCTTGATTTCCAAAGTCAGTCTGCTGTGAGGGGACTCTGATCCCACATTATGGTAGTTGGCAGACTAGTTGATGGCGTTATTACATGATGGCTGGCTGGAGTGTCTGAAGCTGGCCATAGATGGATCAAAATTCGGCTGATTCAGCAGGCACTGGATGCATTTCGATCCATCTGTGGCCATTCCCAGAGAAATCGATATAATGGTCAACGACTCCTGAACCAGCTTGTTGGACAGTTTTCCTTTTGATCAGTGTATTCTGGCAGCAGAGGAGTTCTCACTGTCAGAATATAAGGTCTCAGCTGGGAGGATTCCTCTAGTCCCCTCACTTGTGTGGGTGGGGGAGTCCATTCAGTTATTTGTGATATGCCTGCAGGCGGATCTGTGATCCGTGTATGGCCAGAAGGAGTCTATGGGGGACTGGTTGCACAGATGGAGCCTGCCAGAGCAAGGAATAAGGTAAGTATTGCAGGTGTTTCCTCCAACCCTAGACTTAAAGTGGAACTTTAGTCAGAAAATTAAGTCCTGCTAGATCACTTCATGTTGGCCCCTTTTGCAGGTATAGCTATGTAAAACATTACAAATAAGTGCCTATTCTGTTTAAAATCCAGTAATACACTGCTTCACCCTGCTCTGCACATGCTCAATTGCTCTCTATTTTTAGGATCTGCTGACAGCCTAAAGATTTACTGCTGCTCAGGGGCTCTGGGCTTCAGCAAAATGGCAGCCCCCAGCCAGAAGAAACAGCAATTTACAGAACACACTATTTTGGTTTCATAATTATTAATGTGGAATGTATGTTTCTTGCTAAAGAACATTATTTTTTCTATCAAGCTGTTATGAGTAAAGTTCCACTTTAATGAGCATTTAACCCCTGCAGTCCAGGGATGCCCCACTGCGAGGGTAGTTTTTTTTTTTATATTAACCAGTGCTGGGCCTTAAGGGAAGCCATTCATTATGAATAAGCTAACAACACGCCACAAAGGATATAAAAAATGCGCATTTCTTTTTTTTAAAACCGCACACTACAACACCCAGTATATGTGATGTGGTGCACTGTGCTCTACTGTACAGTGTTGGGATGCTATTCACAATGAATGGCACCACAACACACCACACATACAGCAGGTGTTGTTGCAAACATGATTTTTTTAGTGTGCATTGCCACAGTGTACAAGAGTTAATGGGCCCTCATTCTTCTTGCTGGGATAGCTCTAAACTGGTAAAACTTAACCTCTATTTATGTATTGCAGTGGGTTACTGCTTTTGTGCATACACCATTGTTGTGTTTTGCATTGCTTTTGCAAAAAAAAAACCTAAATCTCTTTATTTGTATAGAGCTCAGATGTGATAGCTCATGTTCTCCAATGTAAATCTCTAATACATGATAATTATGTTGTCCTCATCTTGTCCTTGACTTGATATGATGGCTCCCCCTGTGACTGACAACTTGTTGTCTGCTTTTCCAATCAGGCCATCTGCTACCCTTGTACATTCATTGTACACAGCAAGAGCAGTGAAACATGTTTTCATGCCTCTGTTGTTTTTAGACACTTAAACAAGCCATAGATTATGCAATTTTCTTCTGCCATGGGTGGAAGGATAGAAAATTGCTCACCTCCACCATCAACACAGTCAGTGTAGATTGGGGAATCCCTCCCAGTGTGCTATTGTGTCTGTCGATGGGGAGCCTTCCTTGCCGGCAGATCACACAGGTGTTGGTTTACTAAAATTGGAATGTGCAAAATCTGGAGCAGCTCTGCATAGAAACCAGTCAGCTTCCAAGTTTTTTTTGTCAAAGTTTAATTGAACAATCTGAAGTTAGAAGCTGATTGGCTACCATGTACAGCTGCACCAGATTTTGCACCCTCACATTTTAATAAATTAACCCCAGCGATAAGTCTTATGAGCTATATCCGTAGCCATAGCTATAGGCGCTAATCGTTTGGGGAAAAAACCCAACAGGCTGGTTGTAAACAAGTTGATCAATAGGTAGAATTGAGTACAACCATGGTTCCCATACATGGATCAAAATTCAGCCAGTCCCGGCTCAACCTGCCAAATTTCGATCCATGTATGGCCGGCTTTAGACATCTAGCACGGGATATCTTCCTTTTGGATTAATGTCTGCTGTGTGGCTTTTCTAATACACTGGCCTTCACAGGGAAAACTAGACCTAATCTCAGCTTTATATTTTGCTCACTTTTAACAACTTTGCCACATATTAGTTCATCGTGTAACAAACCAACATCTGAAGGTGGCCATCTTGTCCTCTGAAGCTCCATTCACAAAATCTATGACTTCACTTTGAGTCTTCCATAAATCGTTTAATTAGTAATAGGTTTTCACTAAATCCACTTTGTGTAATTAGTACTCCTATTAAAGTGATCCATGGATTAAAGAAAGTACACTTTTTTTTTCACTTTATGCAATAGGTCTTTATTCCACTCGTGTAAAGGGAAGAAAATCAGATTTGCTGAACGTTTCTGTTATTTTTGTGGATGTCCTATTCAACCCTTTTAACAAAAATAAATAAATTTATATTGATATGCATTGTTTCATTTCTTTTTGTATTCCATGGCTTGCTGTATGTATGTATTGTGCACTCACCCTTGTAGTGGCTGCATGTTCTGTACACGCACCGGCCTGTATAGTCTTTGACGAGCGGCACGCACGCAGCGCACACAATGTAAAATGTAATATGGCAGGTGTAGTGTTAGATCACACTGTGCACACCACGCTGTAGGTTTATAGAAACGTCTCATCGGTAATTGGTGTCTGTAAAATGCTTGCTAGGGGAATTGTCCACAGTACTACAGATATAGAGTAGTTTATAACTAGTGCATTATGTATTACACAGCTGAGAGCTACACAGTAGATAGGTGGAGGAAGATGGTAGTATTAAATGTTTAAACTGCCTGCTGTTTCTCTGCTAGATCCGGTATCGGAAGGACAAGGCGCTGTCTAGGCAGACCCCTTGCTTCACCTCAGTGTCTTCCATCAGAGACCTGTCTAATGGGAGTGCACTGGCTGCTACTGTGCACTATTACTGCCCGAGCGAGCTCCGGCTGCAAGGTGAGTACAAATTTCATGTGTTTAAGTGAAATGTGATTGAAACAGTGCAAAATCTCTGTTAGAAATGCTAAGGCAAAAGATGAAAAAATGACTGTTAGAGATACTAAGGCAAAAAATGAAAAATGACTGTTAGAGATACTAAGGCAAGCCATAAATATTTTTTTTTTTTCCCATCCACCATAGGTGGACGGAAAGAAAATCACTTGAACACTGACAGACACTGTGTTGATGGTGTAATCGAGCGATTTTCTTTCCTTCCACCCATGGTGGAAGGAAAGATAACCGAGTCACCTAGTGCTTGCCTAATAAATCCCCAACCTGTATACTTATTCTGGTTTAGTGAATTAAACCATTGAAGTCAATGGATTACCATGACAGCCAGGTAACTAACAGTATAAACACTACCTGCCCAGTTAACAAGTGAATGGGCCTTTTAGACACCGTACCTATTAACCTGTTGCCACCCGCATAACACATATGTGCAGTGGTAGAAAGGTGGGCTTTATTGCTCACACGCTGCACATGTTAATCACTTAGTGGTCGATGTCTCTGGGCTTAGAGCGTACTCACAACCCGCTCCCAGCACAGAGACCGAGCTGTCAAAGACAGCTCTTGGTTCCCACTGATGATCCATACCGCCTGTCTGCCACGAAGTGAAGCCTCGTGACCACAGCATGTGTACAGCTCTGTTTGGCTGTAGTGGGACAGTTCATGTAGGCAACCAGGGGGTCAATAAAACCATGACATAGCCACCCATTTTTACCAACAACCCTCACCACCACCACTTCTTTTCAAAAGAGTGATTGTCCTTTTCAGGCAAAAAGGTCTGAAAATTAAAGTCAGATTGGCAGAAAATACAGGAAAAAAAAGATCTTCGTCCTTGTGCAAAGCTTCATGAATTGAGCCTTTTGTCAAGTCTTTATCACTGCTGAAATGTATCCTGAATCCTGAAATGTATCCTGGATGGCATTAGTGGTTAACAAAGTTAATCTGTTTATTGTCCAGAGTTGGTTTTTTTAATTGCTAACAGGGATCAGTGCTGCTGCTGCTACTATTATGATTGTCTCTGTTTCCTGCAGATGTCTGTTTGAAGGATACTATGTCTGTAGCTGACAGTCTGTACAACCTGCAGCTTCTCATAGATTTCTATGCCCAGCATCTACCTCCATCTTGTCCACTTTCCCTGGAAGACTTGCTCTACGTGCCCGCAGCTTTGCGGGTGAGTAAAAGAGAACACCCTGTGTATACTGCTTGTTGCCCACTTGCCATAAACCATTATATGTTAAGTATGTTGATGTTAAATTGTTTTTCTTTGTTCTGGTCATCAGGTCAATCTTGTTGCACTCTTAGCGGACCTGTATTACTGCTTTGAAGTCGCCAAACCAGAGTTTGTACAGCCTAAAGGTATGCATTTCTGTAGGCTATCCAATTATTTTTCCCACAAATCTCACCTGTAAGTTAAATGGAGGATGTATTTTCTTAAACATTTTTGGGGGGGAATTAGTGATACACTTCTAGTGATATGGCCCTTTAAGATTGTCTAAACCAAATAAAAACAAATCGCTGCTGCCTATTTCGGTAGCTTTAAGGACACGCAAGGAAGATTCTGGTAGTTGCTAATAGCACTATCTTTACGAAATTGCGCTATTATTGCATCAAATTAAAAATATAATTACCTCCAGTTCATACATAACGAAACTGGAGGTAATTAAGACCAACTCTTAAGTTGGTGCACAGGGACAGGCAGAGTGCCTGTCTCTGTATGCTGTGTAGCAGGTGGCATATATCCATCACCACCTCATCCCCTACCGTCACTGGTTTTTAAGGATGTTGTCGGCTTCTCAATTGACAGCCCCCTTGCAACCTGTGACACTGAAAGAGGGTGGTGCCTGATAAGGATGCTGAGACACTAGTTCACCATTCCTTGTGATTGGCAGTGGACAGATCATATAGCGAATATCAGGCTGTCTACTGGCTTTGGATCCTCCTGCTGTCAATCACGAGTTTACTTGATGGGGAACTAGTGTCTGTGAATCTCCACCAGGCTCTGTCAAACAAGCTTTGAAGATTCTTGGCTACTGCTGTCTGTGTAACAACTGTGGTGGCAGGAGGAAGCTCAACTGCACTGAGGATGGAGTGTCTGTATGGATGCTTCAGTCGCAGTGTGCCGGCACACACGGTGCGTGGCCCAGATTCATGTTCCTACCAGTTTACAACATGTGCCTGAATTTGTCACCAACATTTGTCATGCAGAGGCTTGTTCGGGTTCTAAAGAGTGTCTTTATGAATTCCCCTGATGATTGGGTGGACCAAACATTTATAACTCTGCCCCAAATTACATCACCAATCTAGTCTCCAAATATCACCCAAACAGTACTCTCCGCTCCTCCCACATCCTCCTGCTCTCTAGCTCCCTTGTCTCCTCCTCCCATGCTCGTCTCCAGGACTTCTACAGAGCTTCTCTCATCCTCTGGAACTCTCTACCCCAATTTATCAGACTATCGCCTACTCTGCTCACTTTTAGGCGATCTCTAAACCTTTCTCTTCAGGAAAGCCTATCCTGCCCTCAGCTAATAATGGAATCTTCTATTCCTCCTACCAGTCCATCCCCCACAGTTATTACCTTTTGTACCACCAGCCCCTTCCTCTTAGATTGTAAGCACCAAGGAGCAAAGCCCTCCTAACCCTCTTGTATTGAACTGTATTGTTGCTGTATTGTCTTCTGTTATATTGCAAAGTGCTGAGCAAACTGTTGGCGCTATATAAATCCTGTATAATAATAATGTTTAGAGAACAATATGTTGTGGCAGGTGCCAGAGGTAGTTTTGAATGTCAGGGTACCTTCCTATAATTAGGAGCACCTGAACAGGTGAGCACAATCATTGTGCAGCACTAGCAAGCAAGAAAAACGGAGCCCTCGTGTATAAGGAGCACATGGCTTCCACCTTGTACATATAAAACTAGATGTTATGTATGACTATATACAAAACAACATTAAAGCAGAACTAAACCCATTTATTTAACAGTTTCAAAAAAACTGTTACGTCCCTGACTCGCGCAGGGAATGTAATTGTCACATTTGTTTGTGCTCTCAGCCACACTGCCAATCCATCAAATGGCTGGTGTCATAACTGATCACAGTTGATCACCAAGGCATTTGAAAATAAAACTGAGGCTAAGATGGCAGATTCCTTGGCTGTAAAAAACAATAGGAGGGTTTTTCTCCACTTTAAAAATGTAATTAAAATCCTAAATATTTATAATCATGCGGAACTACTAATTTAGGTTCTACTGATTTATGGCCTGTTCACACCACAATTTTTTCCTTCCGGATGCATTTCTGCGTGCGCATTTTTGATGTGTCCTGGTGCGTTTTTTCTCCCTTTTTTCATCTCCACTAAAGATGTGCGTTCTGGTTCTTTTTTTTATGCTTTTTGCCACGTTCCAGATGTGTTCTATACAGAAAAAGAGCAGCATGTTCTACTTTTGTTGACTGCACTGGAACGCACTTATCTGGTGTGAAGTGGTTGTAAATCATGACATGAAATATGAACAAAAAATATCCCCTCTATAGCAGCCTTTCTCAACCAGGGTGTCCAGGCACCCTGGGGTGCCTTGAGGTTTCTTCAGGGGTGCCTTGGCAAAATGTCTAAAAATTGTCCAAAACCTGTATACAAGCCAGCAAATGGAAAAAGCCTGCCTTTTAGTTACACAAAACCACAGGTGTGCACCGTTACGATCTTCTAGCTGCTGGCGTCCTGACAACCACTGACATCAGTTGATAAGGAGGATGTCAGCTGCCTGCACAGCATCCTAGTTGACCCTCCCCTGTCCCTCTCCATCAGTGCTGGGGACATCTTAGCTCAGTGATGGAGAAAAACCGGGGGATGTTGCTGCATTATATGAAACTATTAGAATAGTTTTTCACATTTTAGAATGGGGTTCCCTTTTAAAATTATGGACAGTCTAGAGGCACCCCATTTTAGAATGGGGTGCCTTAAGACTGTCCATAATTTTAAAGGGTGCCCCAGGACTATCCATAATTTTAAGGGTACCTTGACTGAAAAAAGGTTGAGAAACACTGTGTCTCAAATAAGAGGATTAAATGTAATTTCTGTCTGCTGCTTCCTTCCTCTACTATCAGCATGAATCACTTTTGACAAGTTTTCCTGACATCAGGGGAGGGACCTCCTGCACGCAGCCTGTGATTGACAACCTCAGCTCTGTTCCAGTGTGCTGTGTGAAGGAGTGTGTCCCCTTCCCTCCAATCTGCTCTCAGAGCTCTCCTCACTGAGGCTATAAATTCTAAATGTTGAACGGCTGTAGAGAAGAGAAGGCTGCACCTGAGGCTAATCACTTCACTGGTTATATGTAAGGGTTTACAGTCACTTGGAACGGTTTCCCAATACAGTTAGGCCTCCCGGACTCGGCATTTATGCGCCAACTGCTGCATGAATTCAGTGGAATCCTGCAGCTGGATTCACAGTTCATATTCAACTATTCATAAGGCAATGACAGGCTAACGGCGGCAGCGGCTGCAGCTACTGTGATTGCACATGGAGTGGTTACCTGAGGCTAGTGACCGTTGATCACCCTTGCAGCAAACAGTTTGCATCCAGGGGCAATCGTCTGTATCTAACCGAGAGGACTGCTCCATGTGCAATTACAGTTGAACAGGCTGAGTGGCCACATCTATCAGAATCAACCCATGAATCCAGACGCAGGATGCTGCTGACATTTTGCTGCAACTGGCACATAGATGCTGTGTGAATGAGGTCTGTTTAGGGAATCCGTTAAATCAGGATTAGTAGTTCTGATTTATTATAAATATTCTGAATGCACATTACATTTTTTTAAAGCTGTTTTGTGTATGAATGTGATGTCTTTAGTATTAAAGTATAACTAAAGGCAAAACCTTTTCTTTTGGATGAAGTGGAGATGGATTAGAACCCCTGCCTGTTTGTATTGCTGTCTGTGCCCCCGTTAGGGAGATTCCCCCTATTTGCCATTATCATTGAAAGTAAAAGAAAATCCCAGATTTTGGGTTGTCCCCAGAAAAGTAATAGAGAGGAATCTTTCAATGGGGACACTGGTTCTGATGACCTGGGGGTCCCCAAGGAATTCCCTTAATTTGTAGGGATTTCCACTCACTTCCTGTTTTGGCTATGGGACAGGAAGTGAAGGGAAATCTTTGAAATGGGAAAAAGATGGTGAAAAATAATCTGACAGGGGTTATAATCCTCCCTTACTATATCCAAAATGAAAAAAAAGTTTTGCCTATAGCTCTACTTTAACTGTCATACTTGCCAGTGAGTTTGTCAGCTGTCAATCATAATTTCAAGTCCTCATGTGGCATAGATGATCACATGTGTAGCACCATGGCTACTACAGATCTAAACAGGGGCTAAGATGGTGCTGTCCTCAGCTGTAAAGGATAGGAGGGCTTAGTTATCTGATTATATTTTTGTTTTTTTGCAAAAAAAAAAATCTTCTAAAGAAAAATGTGTTTTTGTAGTAAAATGGACTATAAATGTGATGCTTTTAATGTTTAACTGAATTGTTTGTCTTTTAGATTTGCAGTCAAGCCTAGAAAGCACCACACCCACACCTTCAAGTGCGCACAGTGGAGGGTACGTATTTTTTTTTTTTTTTGTCATCAAGTTTACAACAGTTACCTTTGAAAACAGAATTCATACCAAACCAAATCATGGATTTATTAATTAGTTCATTGGTCATTCTCTGCATTCAGGTAAAAAACCTTCTATGATCAGCTCCCCCCAGCCCCACCTAAATACTTACCTGAGTCCTATAGAGATCCAGTGCTGTGCCCAGGAGCAGAAGCGCTGGTCGTTCTGTCTCTCCTCACAGGACTCAGAGGAATTAGTGGGAGCCATTGGCTCCTGCTGCTGTCAATCAGATCCTGTGAGGAGGAAGCTGGGGGTGGGACCGAACCATGCTGTGTGTGTCATAGACACATATAGCCCGTCTTGGGACTGAGCCTGTACAAGTGCACCCATAGCGAGCGGCTTGCTATGGGGGCACTCGGAAGGGAGGAGGAGCTGAGAACGCTGATGAGAGATCCCAAAAGAAGAAATAGACCACTCTGTGCAATACCGTTGTACAGAGCAGGTACAGTGGAGAAAATATTTATTTTATCCCCTGCAGATTTTGTAAGTTTGCCCACTTACAAAGAAATGAAGGGTCTATAATATTTATCATAGGTGTACTGTAAATGATAGAGACAGAATATCAACCAAAAATCCAGAAAAAAAACACATGATACAAATGTTATAAATGAGTTGCAGTTCAGTGAGTAAAATAAGTATTTGATCCCTTGCCAAGCAACAATAATTCTGGCTCCCACAGACTGGCTATGTGCTCATGTGGTACATATTGGTTGATATTCTGTCTCTATCATTTAAAATACAGCTATGATAAAAATTATAGACCCTTCATTTCTTTGTAAGTGGGCAAGCAAAAACTGCAGGGGATCAAATAATTTTCCCCACTGTAAGTATAACATGCTTTTTTATTTTAGGAAACAAACTGAAGCTTTACAATCACTTTAAATTGTGGGAAGTGACATGCAAATAATTTAGTGGGTTTTAGCAGATATGCGGTGACTATATGGGCCATTTATTTTTCAGCTTGAATACAATTCAAGCCACAAGTGTCCCAGAAGACAAGTGAGATTTAAAAACTATGAGTCATTAAAGGCAATTTATATAGCACTGACAATTTACACAGTACTTTAGGATATGCACATTCACAACAGTCCCTACCCTAAAAAAGCTTACACTCTAAGAATTGCTCTCTTGCATACATGCATGCATGCATGCATACATACATGCATACATACATACATACACACACATACTAGACAACCTTCAGAAATTCCCAGCCACTTTAAAAAAAACGTATAAATAAAGGCACATTTAGGGATATTTTATCCAGAATCTGGAGTAGCTGTGCAAGGCAAACAACTTCTATCCACCAATTCTAACAGCAACACCCTCATCCTTGTATTCTCCCACCTATGCTCTACCTTACACCTTTTTTCCTGTCTCTGATCACAACTTTATCAGCTTTACGCTCTCCCTGTCTCCAAACTCCCATGCCTCCAACCAGCAAACCGTTACCCATAGAAACCTCCACCACCTCAGCCCTGACCTTCTTCACTCTGCTACTAAGTGCCTTTATGATAAAATTGCGCCCCTGTCCTGCCCAGACCTGGCCACATCTGCCTACAACAACTATCCATCATCTTCCCTGGATGAACTTGCTCCTCTCTCTACACAGAACCAAGCCTCGCCTGTCACAACCCTGGCAAACAGATGACACCAGAAGTCTCAAGAGAGTGCTCTTGGGCGAGCATGGTGTAAAACTAAATCCCTGAAAGACTTTGCCCTCTACAAATCCACCCTTCTCAAATACAACTCCGGCCTACACGCTGCTAAACAAACATTCTACAAAACTCTCATCAAAACCCTCTCATCCAATCCTCATCAGCTCTTTTCTACCCTTAATTCCTTACTCCTCCCCCCACTGCCTCCACCAACCAACTTACTTACTGCACAGGAGATTGCCAGTCATTTCGAGAACAAGATCGACACAATTCGTGATGAGATCTCTAGTGTAAAGCTTCCTCCTCCAACCAACATACCAGGCCCAACACCACACTCAACACTCTCCTGCTTCGACTCTGTTACCACCGAACTCCTTTCCAAGGCTCACTTCACCACCTGTCCCCTGGATCCTGTCCCCTCATGATTGTTGCGGCCTCCTTACTGCTCTATTCTAAACTCTCTAACCCACATCTACAACCTCTCACTCTCCATGGGCACCTTTCCCTCCCCGCTCAAACATGCACTGGTTACCCCCATACTTAAAAAGCCCTCGCTGGACCCCACCTGTTTTGAATAACTTAAGACCCATATCCCTGCTCCCGTTTGCCTACAACCTTTTGAGCGCCTTGTTCACAATCATATGAACTGCTACCTCACCAACAACAACCTTCTCAATCCTCTACAGTCTGGCTTCGCCCACAACATTCCACTGAAACAGCCCTACTAAAACTCACTAACGACTTACTAAATGCTAAAAGCAATGGCCATTACTCCATAGTCGTACTGCTAGACCTTTCTGCTGCCTTTGACAGTCAACCACGTGCTCCTCCTCAGTAAACTCCACTCCATCGGCCTCCGAGACTCTGCTCTCTCCTGGTTCTCCTCTTACCTTCCTCAGCGCATTTTCAGCCTCACATACAACTCCTCCTCCGCTCCTCTTCCTCTTTCCGTTGGGGTACCCCAAGGCTCTGTCCTTGGGCCCCTCCTTTTCTCTCTCTACACCTCCTCCCTGGGCCAATTGATAATCTCCCATGGCTTCCAGTAGCACCTCTATGCTGATGACACCCAGATCTATCTCTCCACTCCCCAATTCACCCCCTCAATCCCCTCGCGTATCACAAATCTAGTAAGTGATATATCAATATGGATGTCACACCACTACCTTAAACACAATCTTTCCAAAACCACAACCTCCGCAACATTTCCAAAATCTACCCCTTTCTGACCAATGACACCACAAAACAACTTATCCACGACTTGGCTATATCCCGCCTTGATTACTGAAACTCCCTCCTCACTGGTCTACTGGTACACAGGTTATTCCCCCTTCAGTCTATTATGAATGCTGCTGCTCTCTGCCAATCCCTTCATTTGCTTCCACTAATCCAACACATAAAATTAAAAATACTAACCACGACATACAAAGCCATCCACAACACTGCCCTAGCTACATCACCAATCTCATCTGCAGATATCGTCCAAATTGCCTGCTCCGCTCCTCCCATGATATCCTCCTCTCTAGCTCCCTTGTCACCTCCTCCCACGCTCGCCTCCAGGACTTCTCCATCCTCTCCAACTCCCTATTGCAGTATGTCCGGTCAGCCCCCACCCTGTCTGCCTTTAGGTGATTTTTGAAAACTCACTTATTCAGGGAAGCCTACCCCACCTCCACCTAAGAACTGTACTTGAGCCACCTCCATCAGATTATCGCCTACAGCTATCACCTTTTGTGCCACCTCTCCCTTCCTTTAGATTGTAAGCTGCACGAGTAGGGCCCTCCTATTCCTTCTGTACTGAAATGTATTGTTCTTGTACTGTCTCCCTTATATTGTAAAGTGCTGCACAAACTGTTGGTGCTATATAAATCCTAAATAATAATAATTATAATCTTTCATTTTCAAAGCTTAACTAAACAATTGACCTCATCGACAGCACAGCCCTCTTACCCTCTACATCAACAAATTTGTAGAAATATTTTTAGGGATATAGTTACAACGATGTTCTAGGTAAAGTAGAACATAATAAGCTACCAATGGCCATGTTGGATAGAGACAGGATATTGGGGGAAGAGATCATCATATTGTTGATGCTCAAGAGTTTAAGGAGTCAGTGACAAATGATCCCAAGGAGTACAAGTTTAAAAGTTTGCGATTAACTTTTTCCTTATTTACTTCCATCTTCAGTCCATCTCAGGGGCGGACTGACAACTCATGGGGCCCCCGGGCAATAGGGGATCATGGGGCCCCTGTATCCTTGGCCAAACTCAAAAAAGCCTATGAAAAAGGTACCAGGGGCATCTCATGGGGCCCCCTACTGTCTTGGAAATTCGCTTTAACGAATTTCTCCTTACCGTGAGTACTCGCAGTTGGATGCGCAGAAATCCCCCATAAAGCTGTGTGAATCTCGCTTACCACGACTGCAGCCAAACTACACGATTCCTGCCCATCCAAATACTTTGGTCCTGTTGATTTGTAGGTGATGGAGCTCCGTTACCCTAGAATGATCACACGACACTCTAAGGCTGGTTGCAATCCACATAAGGGCCGGCTTTAGGCTCAGCTCTCTGTTTTTATTAAAAATACACACATGCCCCCCACATGAATAAAGTCAATCCCTCCCACCGAACAATACAATGGGGATTGCCTATACAGAGGATGTACATTCCAATTGGAGCATAGCCTTTCCTATTATCTATCACTGGTCCTCCCCCATGAACCTTCTGAGGTCAGCAGACTTCCTCCCCTTCCCCCCTATGAGCCATCTGAGGTCATATTTCCTGTCCTACTAGCTTCTATTGGTATGTAAAATTCTCTGCACAAGCACTCCCTAAAAATATCAGTCTGTACCTGGATGGGTTCGATACGATCTTTATTAAAACACATCCATCCAAGATACAGTTTCAAGTTGGTAATGGGTTGTAAGATATGCATAAGCCTACACGTGGAGTTCACACCGCTTGCGCATTGCGTTATGAAGCCCACGTGGTACCATGCTGCTGATATGTGGATACAGGCCCACGGTCTACTGACAGCAGCATTCGCATGGAATGCCGTGGTGGTATACACGCCGGTCTATAAGCGCAGATCTGCCATCTCATCCATTACCGAGCTGAGTACTGTAATACATACATTGTACATGCGCATGGCCCAATTGCAGCCTTCAGAGCTTTAATTAAGCCACACGAGAGACATATGAATAACACGAATACATGACACATTTAAAGTTCGACCAACAATACAAAATTTCCATGACACTACTGACCCTGGGCCCTCGGGCAGTGCCCGAGTTTCCAAATAGTCAGTCTGCCCCTGGTCCATCTCTTAACATTGTTAGCTATAGTCTGTAAATGAACTGTAAGGGCTGGGAGAGTACAAGGGATGCTAAGAGGAGTCGAAAGGCTGCCTATAGTTCATATAGTCTGCTTATAGTTCATACAGGAAACCTATTACCATCTTTCTTTCCTCTTGTGTTTTGTGGTCTATACAGTTAAAATATAGTTCTGCATATAAAGCGGACCTCATGCTGCCTCTTTTACTACATCCTTACAGTAGTTTTGTTACAATACATGACAGTTGTGTGCCTTTGAAAGAATGTATATGTAGTGAATATTCTGTTATTTAGATTCCGCTTGAGAGCACAGAAAACTCCCTCATAGCGCAGAGAATTTACTTAGCAGTCAAGAGTAATAAGAATGTTAGGGAAGATGCACTCTGGTGGTCACAAAATGTGATTAGGGAGCGAGTTTGAAATCAAAAACATTTGAAATAAGTATGTTTATCTTTTATTTTTTCTCAGGGGTTCTCCTGTCTTTAACTTCCGGCCTGGAACCACAGGTGAGTCCCGCTTACCACCACTATATTTTTTTTAAGGGTCGAATTGAATGTATTTTCTAGAATATAGCTGTATTGACATGAACGTTTTAAACCCCATGTTGTCCTTTTATGGTAGGATCTCTCCCTCACTCTTCATCAATGTCTCACATGGAAGGATTTGGAAAGTCCTGGGCAAAAAATCCATTAAGGTAGGTGTAGAAGTTCTCCATTGAAAGTGCTCTGAAAACAAAGTATACATTTTACACTACCCTAAAGTCCTGAACATATCTTTTTGTTTTCCTCCAGCTCCCCACTGTCCCAGGCAGTTTCCTTCAGCATACCATTTGGCCTTGACAGTGATGTTGACATTGTAATGGGGAACCCTGTGAACATTCTTCGTTCTGTCAGCTCAGATAGCCTTACACCTCCTGTGTATGCAGCCTCTTCCCAAAATCCCCCCAGTGCATTACTCGGGCTTCCTACACCCCACCTGAGGATGCAGCTGAATTTCCAACACAACCACGCACCTTTAAGAAGGTCCCATTGACTGCAAAGTGCACCACAGACCTGCAGGTTCAGGAGAAACCAGGTGGTGGACAAGGAACACAGACAGAATTGCCCACCATTGAAGAAGCGCTGCAAATTATCCACAGTTCTGAGACTCGACTGCACCCAGAGGGAGCACCAGATGGATTTTACCTCCACTCACCAGAAGAGTCAAAGCCGTCTAAAGTAGAGGATGATATGGTCCCAAATTTAGGTGTGTACAGGACACATGATACATCTAGAAGATTGTCTAGAGATGACGATTCTGTGCTAAGAGATAATAGTCTGGACTCTGATGTAGATGAGAACAGGGCAAATCAAGAGTCCAGTCGCAGCTCTCTTAGCTCACAAGCTGATTCCTCTGCTGGATCAGGTACAAAGATGACAAGTTTTGCTGAACGCAAGAAAAAAATTGATGCCAAAGTTACCTCAGATGGTTCCCCATCTGGTTCACCCAATACGACCACATGGGCCCAAAAGGCAGAAGAGTCTCCTGTGAAGAGTCCAGCTTTAAACTCTGAGATGAACCAGCTTGGTGCCAGGCTTGAGGAGAAGAGAAGGGCTATTGAAGCCCAGAAAAAGAGAATTGAAGCAATTTTTGCAAAGCATCGACAGCGTCTTGGAAAGAGTGCCTTTCTTCAACTGAAAAAGAAAGAAGGGGAGGATGATTGTGAAGAGGATGATCTAAAATTATCACCAGATGAGGGCCTTCCTAAAGAGTTAGAAGAGGAAAGACAGATAAAACAAAACGAAGAAGAAAAGAATGAGAAGATGAATGATGGGTCTGTAAAACCTCGGGGAGAAAAACAAGTGAGCTTTTCCCCTGAGGTGACAAAAGCTGGACTAGATAACAATCTAGGAGACTATAATAAAGCAGTAGCAAAATTGAATTCAGCTCTATCATCTCTACAGTCGGATATGAAAAGATTATCTGACCAGCAGGAGAAGCTGATGAAGAAAGAGAGCAAAGCTTGGGTCATCCCAGCTCCAAAGTCCTCCCCTCCACCACATCGACCCAAGTCTTCACCGCCTACTAGACTTACAAGAGAGTTCCAAACTCCTCGTTCCTCATCTGCATCTCCTTCTCAGTCACCTTCACGAATAACTCCAAAGTCCCCCCAACCCAACACCAGAAGGTCTTTGCAACCTGCGCCTGTAATACCCAAAAGTCCCAAAAATACCCGACCAGTAGAACTAAAGCTTCCACCTCTCAACAGAGTACTGACTCCTCCCCATAATGTGGACACCATACCTCACTTGCGTAAATTCTCCCCAAGCAAAGTTCCAGTCCAGACTCGATCCTCTATACATTTTGCAGATGATACGAATGCAGAAGGTGAAAATGAGGAGACTTTGCCAACTAATGAAATCCATGGAAACAACTCGCGTCCAGTAGCTTCAGTGGTTCCTCAGAGTAGTGGCATTGGGCCACTGGCTGGGGAGGAGAGGGAAGGGAAGAGGAGCAGTTTGATTGAGATCCCATTGTCCGATCTGCAACCAACAGAAGAATCAGATTTAGAAGGAATGGACTCACTAGATGCAACTCCTGCAGAGGAAGGTGCAGCACAGAGAGGACTGGGATTCTTCTTTAAGGTGAGGCCATTGAATAAGCTGAGTTCCAGTTATATATCCTGAAGTTACATTTTAAACCTATCCCAATACAGTAATTCTTGGGGTCAGAAAGACTGAAGAGATGATTAGCGTGGTTAGGATTTTCCAGGGATCTGTTGTGTTGCAACACAGGTCCCCAGGAAATTTTTAAAATAAACCTGTGCCCGGACTATCCACACTAAAGTATTTACTTATTTGAGCAAGCAATAAGTTCACACACATATGCAAATTCGGATGCATTTTGAACGGCACTGATTTGCATGACATGTCAAATAACACAGTTTTCAGTGGAGGGCGTTCACATACATGCAGTCCAGCCACAGTGCAATATTGAAAAGGGTCCTGTGCATTTTCAGAGCAGTCCAGGTGCGATTTACAGCCTTACGCTTTACAGTTTGCATCAGAGTCACACCTGCACTACTGAAAAAACGTACTAAAAAAGCCATCAGAATCGTACCGCATATATGTGAACCAGGGATAACAGCACTTTAAAACAAGCTCTTATTTTAGCTTTAGGCATTGCGGAGACACTCATCTACAAACCTCACCACAGAGGCAATGAAATCGTGGCTTTTCCTATTTGTGTTCTATTGCAACATAATCTTGGCAGCCTGACAGCTCTCAAAAATAAATGCACAGCAGGTGTTTCCAAGCTGGTAAGCTGGCCATAGATGAGTCAAAAACTGAACAAAATTCATGTCCGTCATCAAATTGTTCGCTTTTTGCATCGTTACAACTGATGGAGTTGTATGACCTTTTTGTTTTTTGAATGTCAGAATGTTTGGTTCTCGACTCATTTATGACCGACCTTGGGAACGGACTAAACCTCTAGTTTTGCGTGTAGAGAGGTCAGGGATGGATTGTTTGTTCTTAAGCTCATGTTCCCCTTGTTAAGAATATGTGTATAATTTATATGACAAAAGTGCACTTTAACTGTCCTGCTCATTCTACAAATACAGAAGTTCAGTTCCCTGTACTTACTTTGTGGAAGATTATCTCCTACCAAACCTTTAGGGAGAATAGAATAGGCTGTAGGGGCATCTCTGCTAAAGAACTTGAAAAGAAAACCATTAAAGAGGACCCTCCACCTGTTTTGGAAACATACACGATGACAGCCTAAAACATAAATAAGTCCACCTACTGTACCGACCTTCATGCTGCCTCTCCTTCTCCTTTCATCTTTTTCATGGTGCCTCAGTGCTGCCTGTGCCCTCTCTACCACCTTTTATTTAAAAAATCCTTTCTGGGATCAGCTTGCAATATAGTCCTAGTGCGCATGTGCAAGATGAAACATGCTGTTAAAAAAATCTCAAGGAAAGGCTTTTTATAAAAAAAAGATTAATGAAACGTACGGCACATGCACTAGGTGAGCTGTCTAATGTAATGCGCTCTGTCTCATTTATGCCACAGTACAACAATATTGCGAGATTTCAGCTGAAACGCAGAGATGGATACTGAATTTTAGTATACTAGGGGAAAGGTCTGTTTAAAGAAACAAGTATATAATTGATTTTAAGTGTTTTGTCATCTCTGTTTTTAGCTTGAATATAATATTGTAGCACTGGTATACCGTCACTCAAAAGAAAAAAAAATTTATATATATATATATATATATATATATATATATATATACAATAAGTATAAATCAGCACACATATGTATATAAAATCCTCAGAAATCCCTTAAAGTCATATCAATATCCTTCCCCTGAAGTACTAATAAAACCTATATTCATTGAATTAAACCCAAAAACCCACAATTATAGTGAAAAAATCAAGACCCAAAGAGATTACCCAAAAATAAAAAATATAAAATATATATAAAAGAACAAAAATAAAATAAAGTCCCAATATGCAAAGTGTCCAAATAATGTGTCCAAACAAAGATCAATTTCTTGATAGGAAGACGCTTCCTACTCCACTGAAGAAGATGCAAATCAATCACAGGTGCTCTTCAAATACCTCAAAAAACAAAATCTCAACATAGTATATTACCTTTTAAATCCCAGAACTAAAGTGCTACACGTGTATCATGCAAAAAAAAACACTCCAGTGTCACAGCACTCATGTGAAAAGAAAATTAATAAATATCACTGCAAACTTATATATAAAGTGCATAATTACCCTAAAACAAACAGATTCCAGCTTGTAATCAACCACATATGTACAGAGTGTCCTTAGATTGGTATCCTCTTGTTCCTCAGGACCTCACAAACAGACCAGGAATCAGTATGTGAATTATAATCATATGAGGAGTTTGATGCTGTCTTGCTGATCTTATCGTTTTTATATGCAAGTGGCTACAATAAATTTTATATATGATTATAATTCACATACTGATTCCTGGTCTGTTTGTGAGGTCCTGAGGAACAAGAGGATACCAATCTAAGGACACTCTGTACATATGTGGTTGATTACAAGCTGGAATCTGTTTGTTTTAGGGTAATTATGCACTTTATATATAAGTTTGCAGTGATATTTATTAATTTTCTTTTCACATGAGTGCTGTGACACTGGAGTGTTTTTTTTTGCATGATACACGTGTGACACTTTAGTTCTGGGATTTAAAAGGTAATATACTATGTTGAGATTTTGTTTTTTGAGGTATTTGAAGAGCACCTGTGATTGATTTGGATCTTCTTCAGTGTTTTATATATATTTATATATATATATATATATATATATATATTACTAGTGGTGCACGAAAATGGAAATTCTTGGACTGAAACCAAAATGGCCAGTTTAAAAAAAAAATAAAAAAAAAATAAAAAAAAAATAAATATATATATATATATATATATATATATATATTTTTTTATATATATATGATTGTATTATATTAAATTTTTTTAATTTAATATCATGAATATGAATTTATTTTCAGCACCTTTTTGGCTAATAGGCTGCTTTCCCACAGAGCAGTTTTTGCAGCGCTTTTTTTAAAAAAAAAGAAACGCTCAACAAAAATGAATCCCTTTAAATTCAATGTATGTGTTCACACTGATCTGTTGCACTTCCCTTGCAGTGTTAAATATCCTGCTTGCCGCATTTTTAGTGCATATTTGGTGAGATAAAAAAAAAACACACCAAAAACTATTGAGGCCTGGTTCATACCAATGCGTTTTTTTAGGGCTTTTTGCAGAAATTCACTACAGTCCATTTTTACGTAGTTTCCTATGCGGCACATTCACATCTATGCTTTTTTGAGCTGCTGCATTTTTGGAAAGGGTTGGGAACTATTTTAAAAGCAAAATGTTGTGTTTTTGGTTCAATAGGGATTCTGCAGAAAACGCATGTAGTGCATTTTTGCCCCGTTTGCTGCATTTTTGATGTGTTTCATCAAAAAACACGTCAAAAGTGCATGTGCAAAAACACAAAACACACTGCAAAAGTGACAAAACACAAACTGTATTGGTGTGAACCAGGCCTGAAATGCAATAAAAATGGATAAAAAATGCATATGTGTTGCTTTTCTTATGCTTTTTAATCTTGTGCAGCAACAAGTTGGGCAAAAAAATGCATCAAAATGTGCGTGCAAAGACGCACTGCAAAACCGACAAAAATCAAACTGCATTGATGTGAACCAGGCCTGAAATGCATTGGAAAACCATCAAAAACGCACACATGTTGCGGTTTGATGCGTTTTTATGAGTCACGTGACCTATGAAAAATGCACCTTAACATGGAAAAATCACGGCAACCATTATTGGTACCTTTTTTTTCTATTGCCAAAATGCTGATAACACTATTTTCGGCCGATACATTTCTGCTGCCGATATATGATATATCGGTATAAGTATAACTTACAAGGCGAGGATTCACTTATACAACAACCAGCAAACAACAAGCAAAACATTTGTGTATAGATATAAAAAACATTATCAATACCATTTTCCTCTTTTTAATAAGTGATCACATGCCCTCTGTTCTCAGCTGCATAAAGACCTTAGAGAGATGGGGGAGGAAAAGCCACAATACACTGATCTTCCCAGTGAATGGCTGTGTAGGGGAGCGTGTCAGTACTCTTTGGAGGAGAAAAGGCTGAGTTCTCAGCACAGCTAGAAGTTTGACCACACTTTGCTCTCCTGCCTAGTGTGGTCAGTTTTTAATAGGAAAGCAGCATGACAGGCAGGAACGCCAGGGATTGCACACAAAGCAAGCCATACAAAGAGAACAGGATACTTTAAAGCAGCCACATATCAGGAATATGACATTTTGACATATTATTTAAAGTGGTTCTGCATTAAGGTAAAAAAAAACCTTCAGTGTGCAGCTTCCCCCCCAGCCCCCCTTATACTTACCTGACCCTGATCTTGATCCAGCTATGTGCTCCCCCGGGTCTCTCCATCCTCATTAGCTCAGACACAGTGCCGGGAGCCACTGAGGGGGTGACACAGTGCTGGGCTCGGGAGTGAGCACGTATGAGTGCACCCATAGCAAGCGGCTTGCTATGTCATCACTCAGCCAGGGGGAGGGGCCAAGAACGCAGGCAGGAGACCCAAGAAAAGGAGGATCGGGGCCGCTCTGTAGAAAATCCATTACACTGAGCACCTAAGAATTACATGTTTGTTTTGTATTTTTGTTTTAAATATGAACGTTTACAATCACTTAAATTTTGCAAGCACTAAAATGTCATCAGATAAATGATATCCTGTTCTCTTTACTTTTTAAATATTAAAATGCATTAGTATTTCCTACACTGCTACTGTTTGGGCATTTGTCATCCATTAAATGTTCTATATGGAGATAGTGGAAGTTGGAGATGCAATTGATAGTTATAAATTTAGATGTCTTCCATTTTGGTTCCTTTAGGGTGAGGAGAGGACAGAGGTGGAAATGGCTCAAAGGAGAGCAGCCTTGCTGGAGAAGCAGCAGAAGAGGACTGAGGAAGCCAAAAAACGAAAACAGTGGCAGGAGGAAGAAAAAGAGAAAAAAGAGGAGGCCAAGTATGTTCTACCTGGGCAACATAAATTCCATTATCTTCTTGTCAAAATAAAAACTGTGGAGTTTCCAGTTGGAGTGGAGTATACTCTTTATGGACTAGCTAGAGGAGTAATATCTTGCAGTATATACGATTTTGGTGGATAATATGTTATACGTATTATGCTACTTCTTTCAGCTTCAAACATGATCATTTCAACCTTTTTTTATTTTTATAGTAAACAGCAAGAGGAGCAGCAGCAGCAGCAGCAACAACAGCAGCGGCAGCGCAAGGAGGAAGAGGCCGTTCTACGTCGTGGCGACTTCACAAAACAAGAATATCAACGCCGACAGCAGCTGAAGATCATGGAAGACCTGGACAAAGTTCTCCGTCAGAAACCAATGACTGTCCGGGCTGTTAAAAAGCCTCGACCCAAGACCGTCTTCCATGATGACTCGATGATTGCCCGAAGCCCTGTCAGAGGATTGTTGGGTAATGAGATTCCAGAAATCAGTGTAACTCATAGAGGTTCTTAGAAGTTGGCTTATAATGTATTTACAAAGAAAGGTCATTTTTTGTGGTCTGTTTTCAGGTTCCAAGCTGAGTAAAGTTTATTCTCAGTCCACCATGTCCCTCTCCACGGTGGGGAATGAAAATGGCAGCGGAACTATGAGGAAGTCCCCCAGATCTCCAAGGTAAAGTCCACCTCTGTGGACAACATATAGGGCAGGGGTGGTCGACATGTGGCCCTCAGAGCCCTCTGATGTGGCCTTCAACCTCAAACCAGGGAAGCGCCTGCCCAAGGTCGGCAACCTGTTAATCGTGATCTGGGCTTGCTCACCCACCTTCCCAGAGCAGCGGAGGAAGCAGGCAGCAGCCACAGAGAGAGCAGGAGCTGCATAAGCCGATGCTTCCTCTGTACAGCGGGCTCCTGTCCCAGGCGGAGTGATATCAAGTGCACTTTGCCTGGAACCTTTCTAGCAGCCTGGAGAGTGATACCAGCAGAAACTGGAAGTGGAAAAAAAGGTCCGTTTATGTATTAAACATCACATACACTGCACTTTTGCAATGGGTTTATTAACACCTATAAAAGGGTTAACAACTATTAGGCTGCTTTCACACTGATCCGTGAGTGCAGAGCAGTGCACCTGTGGGTTGTCTGCGGTTAGCGGCATTGAGCCATAGACTTCTTTTAATTCCTGCGGGTTTCGTGTGCTTTCTGAAAGCTTACCAAAACTCCTGAATGCAGGGGTGCACCACACCCACAAGAGATAGTAGAAGTCTATGGCAAAGTGCAGTAAAGCCACAAGTGCACTGCACTACACAGGTAAATCGCAGCACATGTGTGAAAGCAGCCATTAAGGGGGCTCGGGATAGTAAGGGCTTGTTTACATTTATGGTTTTAGGTAGAGGTGGGTACAGGGGCGGATAGACCATTTGGAAACTCGGGCACTGCCCGAGGGCCCGGGGTCAGTAGGGGGCCCCATGAGGTGCCCCTGGTACCTTTTTCATAGGCTTTTTTGAGTTTGGGTAAGGACACAGGGGCCTCATGATCCCCTATTGCCCTGGGGCCCCATGAGTTGTCAGTCCATCCCTGGGTGGGTAAAACCCCATAGTTGAGATGTGTTTTTACCACACACCCCAACCACTGGTGTAGCGTGAGGGGTCGCAATGGCAACATTCTGTCATTTCTGTTTTACACTTGTACACTTGGACAGGAGGGGTGGCATATACAGGAACCGATCTTCTTCATTTTTCTTTCTGCAACTGCTAAATGAATGATGAGGATTGGTATAGCTGGCACTCATCTTCCCCAATAATAAACTTTATTGAGTGAGTAAAATGTGCAAAATTGTAAAAGTTGCAAATTTATTATTAGGGAAGATGAGTGCCAGCTATACCAATCCTCATCATTCAGTTGCATCTGCGCTGGGAAGACACACAGATCCAGAGCACCGACCTTCCACCTCCATGGGGATTATCTCTGGGCGTAGCACCTACTTGCTTTCAGCTGCTGAATGCCGGCTTCTCCTCCTCTCCCTTCCGCTGGCATTCAACTGCTGCTGGAGGAAAATGTTCATTATGCTATTCAAAATAAAATAATAATATGCTGCATTCACACTTTTTGCCACATTGTTGCACAGTGTCTGTTATATGCTGCTATACATATTCAACAACGATCCTTGCAGTATGCAAGACCCATGGACGATGTTTTGAGGGGCTATTATAAAAGGGATGTGAATGCTCAATAAAGCACCCATGGAAACTAAGAAAATAAAATGCACCTCAGCATATGTTTTAGGCACTTGATGTTTAAAGTGGAAACTTTGGACAGAGGAAAGGATTAAAACCCTGGTACTAAACCTGTGGCCCTCAGGCCCAGCAGTCAGTATTTAGTGAGTTTTCCATACCTACATACTTTCTCGGGGATAGTGACCAAAAATATTTAGTTAAAGCAGCAATAAACCCAAAAACAAAAAATTATTAAATATCAGCTCACTATTAATTTTCTTTTCCCCCCCTTTATTTTCACCTGGTGATCTGGCCAGTAAGTTTATTTTTCAACTTCCTTTAACCGCTTCCCGTCCGCCCTATAGCAGAAGTACTGCTACAGGGCGGCACAGGTGCGCAAAACCACACATATATATATGTATATGTGATTTTGCACTTCCGGGTAGGGCGTGCGTGCCCTACTTGTGCTGCCATTCGCGGCCACGTCTGTCAATCACTGGGTCCCTGGCCAGTGATTACTCATCAGCACCCGGTGATTGCCGAGTGTCTCCGACATGGGCAGTTCTCCCCCCTGTCAGCTACTGCATTGCATGGCTGTGCAAGCACAAAGCAGTGTGCTTACAGTGAAGCACACACAGCACACTGTTAACTCTTTGATCGCCCCACATGTTAACCCCTTCCTGCCCAGTGCCATTAGTACAGTGTCAGTGCTTTTTATTAGCACTGATCACTGTATTGGTGTCACTGGGGATGTCAGTGATACCAAGTCAGTTCCCTCCAGTATCAGAATGCCCGCCACAGTCCCAATATAAGTCACTAATCGCCGCCATTACTAGTAAAAATAATAATTAAAAAAAAAATCCCAATATACATACACCACCATTTGTAAACACTATAGCTTTCATATAAACCAATTAATTTACACGTATTGGGATTTTTGTTAGCAAAGACAAGTTGCAGAATACATTTGGCCTACATTTATGACGAGGTTTGATTTTTTTTTTTAATTTTTTACTGGACGTGTTTAATAGCAAAAAGTCAAAAGTATTGATTTTTTTTTTTCTCAAAATTGTCGGTCCTTTTTTTTTTTTTTTTTTTTTTTTTTTAGCGATCAAATACCACCAAAAGAAAGCTCTATTCGTGGGGAAAAAAGGACGCAAATTTAATTTGGGTGCAGCATTGTATGACCACACAATTGTCAGTTAAAGTAACGCAACGCCATAACGTAAAAAAATGGCCTGGTCAGGAAATTCTCTGGAGGGCAAGTGGTTAGCAGACCAAGCTGTCCAGACAAAGTAGCAGTTAGACAAACCATGTACCACTGATGGGGTGCCTATAATGATCAGCTTTATGCAAAACCTTTATGGCAAAAGGAAAGAAAAATAGTTCCCGTAACGGCTTGATGGCTGGAGTTCAATTTGTTAGTCAAGTCCATTGTAATCTGCTAGTCCAACACTAACCTCCCTCCAGGACTGACACTGCCACTATCCAAAGGTGTCTGTTTTACTACTTCCTTTTACATTCAGAATGCAAACACCTTGAGATAGGAAGTATATTGCTGGCAGGATCACCAGGTGAAATAAAAGAAAACAAATGTAGCCACCATGTCTAAGGACTGGTGGGCTGCAAAATATTACATTTTTATTTTTCGGGTTTAATACTGCTTTAAATTGGATTCTTCTTTTAAATGATTTGTCTCTTTCACACTTCTTGACTTTTTCAGTGCTGTACATGGTATTTTTATTGTTATGCATTTTTATAATGGATCTTGCTGAGTGGAATACATTTGTTAACATTTTAAGGAGGCTGCAAGGTGTGCTGACATATAAAATGACTGTAACAGTGATCTGTAGCAGTCTCTTTTGTGACGTATCCCCAGTCTGACAATCTCTTGCAGCATGCTCCCAGTCTCCAGCCACTCCTGTAGCAGTCTTTGACCATCTCTTGCAGCCTGCCTACAGTCCTTCTGCTGTATTATGTCCAGTCCTTTACATGCATTACATACATTGAACATTGTGATTGGCCCTTTGGTGATGTCAGGGACTGCACTTGAGATTCCTATATCTAGTAAGTTGACCAGCACTGGATTAGCACCTCTGTCAGGCATTTATTGTTATCTATGTTCACCTGTCCCAGTAAGCACCCAGGCAGTAAGGGGACATAGAAAGCAGCATGTGTCTGACAGTTCAAAACTCTGAAGAAAAGTGTTTTTTTGTATAACCAGGTGATCTACACTAATAGACTCTGACTTTCTCTTTTATCCCCACAGAGCGATCTCTCCCTCTGGGCTCATGTCTCCCAGCCGGGGTCTCTTCACTCAGAATGGTGATAAGGATTGGGACACTGGATCCACAGCATCATCCCCTGCCTCCATCCCAGAGTACACTGGTAACCTACCTGCTCTTTCCCTCTCATTGTGCTTTGTTCATTATTGCTCTGCCAATGGCATTCATTCTAAAATAGATTTTTGCATTGCTATTTTCTTGTTTTTATACAAAATGTCTACAAACTGGGCTGCTGCCTATAACAGCCAACCAGACTCTATGTTCCTTCCTGTTCAAACAAAACTGGACTTCTCAGACCTCTCTTCAAGTTCTCTTCCTCTGTCTCTCCTTTTTTTGTTTTTAATCCAGTGAACACCAAAAAAAATAGGCTAAATGCCTATAGATACTGATGTGATTCGTAACCCCAAAGGGGGGCTCTGAATAAGCGTGAAAATAAGTGACTTCAAACAGTGCTTCACACTTTCCATATATCCACAAACATAAATCAACAGTGGATAGTCCACCCACCAACATAAACAAAAACCAAAAACTACAAAAAATTATTGTGTCCTAAAAAGTGAGAGAAATAAATAAATGAATGAATAAATAAATGTCCAATCTAAAAAAGTGTCCAGAGCCATCCAAATAGTGGAGGTGTACTGTAGTCCTGTGATCACCAAACTGTGCAACAGGGTACTATGAATCCCACTCTAGGTGCAATGGCCCCTCACCTCCATGCGGTGACCCTGCAGGGTCAAGACGCCTTAGACAATCAAATACCACCGGTCTGAAACGTGGACTCCCTCCAACGGATGTCAGGTCCACCGCCGTGTCAGTTCCCTCTCTGATGGCCAAGGTCCCGCATACAGCCTCCTCAGTGGTCCTAGAAGTGATAGCTCCTCTTTCGCCCAGAAAGAGAATGCAAAGTGCTCCCATAGTGTATTAACGTTTAATGACTCAAAATGGATAAAAAACGTATCAAATTCCACTCACATTTAACTTGAAATTATAAGCTTTTAGTACCTATCCACATGCTGTGGGTGTACTAACACATTGACCTCAATAGGAGTTCCAAGATGGCTTCCTTGGCCATCAGAGAGGGAACTGATACGACGGTGGACCTGACATCCGTTGGAGGGAGTCCGGGTTCCAGACCGGTGGTATTTGATTGTCTAAGGCGTTTTGACCCTGCAGGGTCACCGCATGGAGGTGAGGGGCCATTGCACCTAGAGTGGGATTCATAGTATCCTGTTGCACAGTTTGGTGATCACAGGACTACAGTACACCTCCACAATTTGGATGGTTCTGGACACTTTTTTTTAGATTGGACATTTATTTATTTATTCATTTATTTTTTTTCTCTTACTTTTTAAGACAAGGTCATTTTTTGTAGTTTTTTTGTTTTTGTTTATGTTGGTGGGTGGACTATCCACTGTTGATTTATGTTCGTGGATATACGGAAAGTGTGAAGCACTGTTTGAAGTCACTTATTTTCACGCTTATTCAGAGCCCCCCTTTGGGGTTACGAATCAAGTATCTATAGGCATTTAGCCTATTTTTTTGGTGTTCACTTATCCCCAGTAGGGGGTCACTATCGTTTATTTAAGTGATTGTTAATGATTTACAGGCGGTGAGCCTGATTTTCTCTTTCTTTCACAATTACCACCATTTGTGGTTTCACGGATCCATTGTATTTATCCCATAGTGGGATCACTGGCATTGTTTAGATTCACAAATCATTTTGAGCCTATACATGCGTTTACCTTTTTGATTCCTCTTTTCTTTTTTTCTCATGTTTACCACAAGGAGTGGTTTCACTGATTCACTTTGATTTTTATCCCCTAGTGGGATCACTATTATTTCTTTCAACCTGCTTATCCAGGGCATGTAAAGTTTACATGCATTTATGTCACTTTATTTATTCATTGGTGTTGCCGTTCAGGAGTTAAAACATATTGGGGTTCACATATAGTTTATTAGCACAGCACCACAATTTACATTTTGGGTTGACCATTTTTATTGGTAGATGGTTAGGTGTTAGCAGCTTTAGCCACAGGTTCACCTACGTGCAGGAGGACTTTGATTACTGAGCTCGTTAGCTTGCCTGCTGGGGTTCCCCCATAGCAAGCTGCTTGCCATGGGGGCACTTGGCAGGATGGAAGAGCCAGGAGCGCTGGCGGGGGACTCAAGAAGAGGAGGATCAGCATGGCAAAACCATTACACAGAGCAGGTAAGTATGACATGTTTGTTATTTTAAAAAAATAATTGCCTTTTAATATCACTTAAATGCCTTAGACATCAATTAGCAATTAACCCTTTTTTTTTAGCCTAGAGTTGGGTTTTAACTTTCCTTTCATTTAGGAGACGTCTTTTTATGTGTTGAGCAAAGGCAAAGATTGTAATCTGCCACCAGTTTTGTGACTGCTATTACTTTTCTGTGAATGTATATATGCCAAGTTTCTTTAAGACAATGCTGCAAATTCAAGGAGATGGGCATATATACAGATGCCTCTGTTTTTGTTTTCCATATCTGATTAATGTCCCTTTCTGTTTCAGGGCCCAAATTGTACAAGGAACCAAGTGCAAAATCAAACAAATTTATCATACACAATGCATTATCTCACTGCTGTTTGGCAGGCAAAGTCAACGAAACGCAGAAGAACAAAGTTCTCGAGGTTGGTAACTCCTAAAAGTGTTGGACTGCCAGGCAGATAAAATGTTTAAATGCATTTATTTTAATATAGCATTTACAGCAATTTTGCCTCAAAATATTTGTGTCTTTATCAAGCTTTAGAGTAGAACGGTAGGCAAAACATAGTGTTGTAACCCCTGTCAGATTTTTTTGTCCATCTGTCTCTCATTGGGGAGAATTCCCTTTATTTCCTGTCCCACAGCCAAAACAGGAGAGGAAATCCCTGCAAATTAAAGGGATCCCTTGGGGTCCCCCAGGTCACCAGAACTACTGTCCCCATTGGAAGATTTCCCATCTTACTTTTTTGGGGACAACCCAAAATTTGGGATTTTTTTAACTTTCACTTCTGATGAGAATGGTAAATAGGACAAATAGAGAGGATGAATCCCCTGTGTATACAGGCAGCAATACAAATGGACAGATATTGGCTTCCATCTCCACTCTATCCAAAACTATAAAAAAGTTTAACCTTTTAATTATACTTTAAAATTTGTCATGCTCTAAGTGAACGTGTAAGCTAACAAGGATCACACTGCTCCTGGTTGTAGCTTTGTCTTTCTGCAGAACTCTTCACTCTCTCAATTTTAACCCTTCATATATTTAAACAGATGTTAGCTGTAGAAAAATGACTTTGACAGACTGGGGTAATAAGGTAAAAACCAAAGGGCAGTAAGCCGCTACTGCTACAGCCAATCAACAAGCTTCCATTGTTCCGACTACAGTAAATCAGTGAAATATGGCTGTCATTGATTACTACTCTTTACACTCTTTACACAGAGAAAATACTGTTTTGTTGCTCTAGATCAGTGGTCTCCAAACTACGGCCTGGGGGCCAGATGTGGCCCTTTGCTTGACTCTATCTGGCCCTTGGGACACTATTCCTTAACTGACACCAATGATGAGGCACCATTCCTCCCACTAACACAATCAATGGGTCACTATTCCTCGTGCGAAGACCAATGATGAGGCACTGCTCCTCCCACTGACGCTGTCAATGGGGCACTATTCCTTCCATTGATACCAACCATGGGGCACTATTCCTCCTGCTAAAACCAATGATGGGGCCGTGTTTACTGATGCCGAGACATTTTCTACTCACAATGGCCACAGTCCGGCCCCCCTAAATCCTGAAGGACCGTAAACTAGCTATTTGTTTAAAAAGTTTAGAGACCCCTGCTCTAGATTGTAGATGTGAGTTGGGACTTGAAATGGAATCCAAAAATTAACACTGATCATTGTTGGTACCTGGCTGTAGAGTGGAGAAATGCATGTTCTGTGTTTCTGTAGCCTTGTGACTTGTAATCACAGGTCCCTCCAAAGAGCAAGAATCCGTGGCAGATGAGATGGATCTGCGTGGTGCTTTGCAACAATTCCTCAGATCCCTCTCCCTGGAGGTAGTTTTCAGGATGGCTTGTTGGAGTAAGTGGTGCTCCTGTCGGCAGCCATGTGGGATGGATAAAGGCAAAGCAGTGCAGGTATACTGCCCTATTGATGTCTCACAAACTCCTGTCAGTGTCCTGAGTTCTTGGACAACATGAAGCTGCAGGACGCTGAGGAAGAGCGTAAATTCTGCCAGCATAGATAGCAAAACTTCTACCGCAGGCAGCACTAACACGGTCAAGTCAGTGTTGCTTGCTTAGAAATATAAGAGGGTAAGGTGACTGGGACACCATCCACACATAGGCTGTAGGCTGAATGACTGTTCTCCGCTGAAGGAAGTAGGTACTTATATACTGACAAAAGGCAACTTTTTAAGGAGACTCCGATGGACCATGAAGAAAAGTGTTGTTGGTCAATGTCAGCAATGTCAGGCTCTTTCTGCTGGTGGGGGTGGTATTGTTTGGTGTCCGTGGAGGCAGACGATTTTTGTGTTGCTTAGGGCAACTACTGCCTTATGGAGTTTGCATGTTCTCCCTGTGCCTGTGTGGATTTCATCCAGGTACGCCGGTTTCCTCCACACAAAGACATGCTGGAAGGTTAATTGGCCCACACAGCATATGTATGAATGGGAGTTAGGGACCTTAGATTGTAAGCTCCTTGAGAGTGAGGGACTGATGTGAATGTACAATATATATATATATATATATATATATATATATGTGCTGCATAAATTGGCAGTGCTATATAAGTACCTGAAATAAATAAAATCGTGGTTCTAGACTAATTTTAGCTATTTGTTCATGTTAATACTTTCAAACTGGAAAAAAACCATGACACTGGGATATTACAATTAATTGGCTGGTCTAGGTTCCTGCTCCTCTAACCTATTTAATAAAGCATATACAGTATTATTATTATTATTATTATACAGGATTTATATGGCGCCAACAGTTTGCTAAGCGCTTTACAATATAAGGGAGACAATACAGTTCAATACGAGAGGGTTAGGAGGGCAAGTATGAAAACATAATGAATGTGAGTTAGGGACCTTAGATTGTTCGCCCCTTGAGGGTTAGGGACTGATGTGAATGTATAATATACATGTGTAAAGCGCTGAGTAAATTGTACTTCCTCAATTGAATCTGTTGCAAAGTGTGTTGACTGGAGATACTGTCGGTAACAGCACTTCCTGTTTCAGGCTGACCACGCTCCACTTCTGCCTTATAATTAGGAGCAGCATTGTCAGTCTGACCTGTGCACTCCTTCAGATGGCCATTGGATGGCCTATGTGGTCTGCACATGCCTCCTGCAGTCCAACAGCCAAATCTCCATTTCTTATGGATTACAAGTACATTTTAAAGGGTTGGTTAACTTTTACCACAAAAACTGCCTATGTAGGTAAGGGGTGTCTGCACGTTAAAACAAACTGTGCATCTCTGATCAAAGCAAAATAATGCCCTTGCTATAGGTATAGGCCATTTATGCACCTTCCGAAGCCTGGTCAAAAAAACTACCAGAGATGGCATCATCCTGACCTGCTGCTAGGGTGTTGCTAAGATTATGCCAGCTGATCCAGACACCTTCACATGCGCTCTCTCTCCCCTGTTGCAGTAGCTCTGATCTATACTATGATGAAGGAGATAGTGAAGCACACATGTGCAAGGGTTTGAGAGCTTGCTCCTGTGATGGTGGGGGTGAGTGGTAATGGCTGAGATTGCCTCAGCAACGTTGTAGCGACAGGACAGGATACCATCTGTGGGAGTTTTTTCGGACAGGCTTTGGGACGTGTGCAAATTCCCTAAGCCTATAGCAAGAGCATTATCCAACTTTAGTCAAAGCTGCACAGTTTGTTTTTATGTGCCCATTACCTGAATATGCAGGGTTTTTGGTAAAGATGAACTAACCATTGAAATATAGAGTTCATAATCTTTCACATAAAGATGCTAACACCATAAACTGTTTAATTCATCCTTAGGACATGGATAAGAGCCAGTCCAACCATTTCCTCATCCTGTTCCGTGACAGCAGTTGCCAGTTTCGAGCAGTCTACACCTTTTCAGCCGAGACAGATGAACTGACCCGTCTGGCGGGCTATGGCCCTCGCACAATCACCCTGTCCATGGTGGAAGACATCTACAAATACAGTTCTGACAGAAAACGCTTCACCCAGATCCCCAGCAAAACCATGTCAATGAGTGTTGATGCCTTCACTATCCAGGGCCATCTGTGGCAGACCAAGCGACCCACTACACCGAAAAAAGCCAGTACTCCTAAATGAATGCCCACCACAGTGTCCAGCATGCTACTAGGCAGATGGTTAATTTTATCCAGTGTTGGGATATTGTGTTCAGCTTCTGCCCGATGTAAGCTAGGTCAAGGTATTCAGTTCTAGGAACCTCCCTGCTTCTACTTTGACCTGGCTGAGATTGTCATACTTCTAAGTTTAGTTGGAACGTCATGTTGAGACCTTTCTGCAAGTTTGGTTGGAATGTCAAGTTTAGACTTTCCTATAAGACATAACAGTTGGCTATTCCACTTTGTCTGGAGGTAGTTTGGCTCTTCAGACACGTGTATGCAACTTTTTGAACTAGCTTTCTATTTTTTTTTTTTTAATCTGTTTTGTGAGAATTGCCTTTTTTTCTACTTTTGGTTTTACTGTAGCATCTGTCCCGGGCTCAGGTGGGATATCTTGCTTACTTTTTTCTTTTCTCCACTGCCCCACTGGAATGTGCCAAGCTACTACCCACTGTCTATTAATGCAGTACAGCTGCCTTCCACTAACATGGTGCCACCTTCCAGGCTCTAGCTCATGCCCTCTATTGGTGCCTTTTATGGTCTGTATTTTAGGACATGGTGGATAGGTCAGTCCATGTTTTCCATCTGAAGGCTTTTCTCTCTAATGCTCTTTTTTTTGCAGAGGTCATCACCGTGGATGCTTGTGTTAAAAGGAAATTGCAATTTCAATGGCATACATTGTGTTTGGATATGAATGAGTTGCTCTTCTAAGGCTGTACTCCCCAAACAGGATGCTAAAACCTTTAGCTAGTCTAATGATCAACACATTTCTGCTGCTCTGCACAGGCAGCCAGAATATACAACTGGTTCCGCTTTGTAGCTTCTTGAAGTAACTTCCAATGAATGAATGGAGACTGTAATTTATTGCCCAGGGAGCAGGTAGTGGCACAGGAAGTACCAAAGCTGAAATAGGAATGAAGTTACAGGAGGGGGTCAACTTATTTTCTTTGTAAGTTAGAGGAAGGTGGCTCACAAGACTAGCCAAGAGAATTAGATCTTTTTAGAGGTAGGACCATTTACATTAATGTAAAAAGTTACCTTGAAGGCATAGCATGATGGAGAACTGCCCCAGTTGCTCATGCTATCAAACAAACGGTCAAGCCATCAAATGGCTGTTGCCATAGTGCTGCACATGGGATCACTTATGACAACTGAAGATCAAACGGGCTGTAAGGGGGGGGGGTTTAGTAATTAGTTTTGAGTAAAACCATTATTGTATATCTCTATGGGGCCAGTGATGAAACGAATATAAAACACTTGCCAGTGCAGAAGACTTGTAGAGCCACAGTCTACGTTCCTTAAAGCGGTTGTAAAGGGTCAAGGTTTTTTTTTTTTTTTCTACCTTTTATACATGCATGAAGGTAAAAAAAAAAACTGTGTGTAGCAGCCTTCCCCAGTACTTACCTGAACCCCATCTTGATCCAGCAATGTAGATGAGAGCAATGGCTCTCTCCCTCCTCATTGGCTGAGACACCTTTGGGAACTATTGGCTCCTGCTTTCAATCACAGCCAATGAGGAAGGAGTAGGGCCAAGCTGCTCTCTGGCTCTGAATGGAGAGAGCAGCAGCTTAGTAGTGAGCCTGCTCAGTTGTCTCCATTGCAAGCTGCTTGCTGTGGGGGCACTCGGTAGGAGGGAACAGTGGCTGGTGCTCTGAGAAGAGAAGGATCAGGGCTGCTCTGTGAAAAACAACTGCACATAGCAGGTAAGTATGACATATTTATTTAAAAAAAATTAAAAAATCAGCCTTTAATATCACTTTAAACTCCACCTAGAGCTCCAGGTGCCTCTTATTATGGGTTTACTTTAAAGGATTCTGGGGCCCAAGATGGTGCTCAGCATGTAACGGAGCTGTGGTATTAGTAGATTGTCCTTGACCTGTTTATGAGGAATCTAGTGAGGGCTGACACCAACACCATGTCCCCCTCCTCCCCTCAACTTTATAATTTATAGGAAAGTAAAGAATCTCCACTTTGGCTAGATACCAAGTTAAAACCTAAGCTCTGTTGGGCCATGTTACAGATTAGAAGAGATATTCCTGCTAAGGTCAGAGACCTGGCGCTGGTCTGAACCCTTCTCCACCGATCAGTTCTGCTTTAACCCAGCAACCACTTCTGCTTTCAGCTATTATCAAACAATGTTGTTCTGCCATAAGCATGGTCAATGAGCTCATCACTGCCTTTGCTCCTCGTCCTCCGGGACCGATCATGGCATTCTTAGACCTTTTGGAAGGTGTCCACTACCTGCCGTCTTTTCTCATACACTGCCTTCCTGCATGTACGATTCCACTGCCTTCTTCACTTTTTCTGCATGTCTGGCTTTGTATTTGTTTAATGAATTTCTCTAATGTCTTGTAATTGCGCTTGCTTAGCTCATGCTCTATAGTAGTCACTAAGCACAAGTATTTGCTCCTGTTTTTTGGAGTACTCTGTGTAGGATGGTTTTTTTTTATTTTTTTTAAACTACAGGCTGGTCAGGCTTTGGCTTTTCAGTTGTCGTAGATATTTTTTTTGTTGAACAAAATCCACGTTTCAGGGGCTGGATCCTAGTAGACTAGGTACCCCTAACTTGGTAAGGAAAGAAATGGTTTTGGTGCAGTTTACAGTCTCTGATGGAGCCATAATTTTTTTTTTTTTTTACTCCTCTTGTAAATGTAGATGTGTATATTTAGTACGGATGGATGTTGTTTATTTGTATGGAGTGTGGTGGGGGCTATCCACTTGTGGGTTGCATAGCTTTATGTGCTAGGTCACTGTAAAATTTTGAAATAACTTAATCATTTGTATGGCGGTTAGGAGTTATTTATCGAAGAACATGACTGGATTGTGCGCTTACAGAAATTGTACCTGGTTTTCAATCTACAAGGCTGCATAACATCTGTGTTTGTAGTGAGAGAGAAGAGATGTATTCAGCTTCCATGTGGATGCAGCTCATACATTAAAACTGCCTACTGCTGGTTTCATTGTGGATGAAAAAGTGTCATTGCTTATCTGTCCGCAGTGTTACAGGACCCCCTAGACCCTGTATTCTGAGAGACAGTGTACATAGCCCAGATGGTGAAATGACAGGTGGATATGCAGCTTCAGCCTCAAGTGCAGTATCATTTATTCTTTGATATCAGAAAGTTTTTTTTTTTTTTTTTAAAGATCTTGGCCGATTCACACCATCCTCGGTGCTGAATCGCACAGGAACACACTGTGCATTATTGTGCAATTCAAAACGCACTACATTTGTGATCTGCAGCAGGTGTCAACAAAAGGTAAACACAGTGAATTTGCCCACATCGGATCACATGGTGCTTTTGTACCCTGCGATCTGGTTGCAGTGCGTTTTAAAAGTAGTGCATGCATTACTTTTAAAGTAGTGCAATTTCAACCCATTCAAAATGAATGGACTAAAATCGCACCACAAGGCACAGTACATCCTACGCAATTCAGATACGGGCATGGTGTGAAACCAACCCTTAAAGCCGAAGTCTAGGATAAAATAAATGTATTAAATAGCATTGCAGTGGGTCCCAACCTCCTCCCTGTGAAAAGGAGAAAATGCCCATTAGGTCAAGGGGTAGATACTTACCTTATTCCTCGCTCCTTTTCTCTTTGATGCCCCAGGATGCAGGCAAGCCCTTGCTGTTGGGCCTGCATTGATGGTGATGATATCAGAGCTGAACTGCCAACCGGAGTCCTGAAGAGGCTTCAGGGGGGCTGGTTGCACACCATGGTGAAAGCCTGCCAGACAGAATAAGAAGCACCCCTAGTTTTAACTCTTGCAGGCAGGAGCCCCTGCTGCAAAGGTAACTTTACTGCTTCCTGCAGTGGGATTGTTCACCCCTCCAAGCATATGACAAACCAATTTACACAACTGGCAGTCTGTAAAGTTGATTTGAGGAGCCGGATCACAAAGTGAAATAGACTTTGCACAGTTGTTAAGCCAGCCATAGACTGAATCTTGGCCAATTCACACTAAGTATGGGTAGGCTCAATGTACCAAAGCTGATCGATCAATTTGGCTACAACCACCCTGTCAGATTTTACATGCCATTATTGCAAACAGCTTTTATAGCCACTAGCAGTAATCACGGTGGTATCCCGCTGGGAAAACACAATGGCTCAACAGGAGCAATTCACAGTCAGTGTTGATGGGGGAAATGATTGATTTTCAGGTTGCAGGAAAGAAAATTGTTCCATGTATGGCTGGCTTTAACCTTAATCAAAAAAAAAAAAGGAGTTGTGAAATAGTACAAGGAAACCTTTTGCATGTTAGTGCCACAACTTCCCTACCCTAAAGTCAAAGACCCACATGAGAAACCTCAAACAGAAGCTTTGATTAGGATAATGTATACTTGTCCTGGGGGGGGTGTGAAGCTCAACCTATTCTTTTCACCACAAGTGGCCACATGAAACCAGCGCATGGAGTCAGCAAACATCAGCTTTCACCGAAGGCTTCTAGTTTGCTGTGTGAGTGGCCTTGGCTAAGTAGTTCTGCTATCTAGGGGAAACAGGCTGGGCTATGTAGACCACAGTCCTGAACAGCTGTATGTTTGTCCATGTTCCATTCACACGAGTGTCTTTTGATTCTACATCCTTAGCACAAAGTACACAGCAGCAGCTGAGGAAGTTGGAGCCCACAGACCCTCGCACCTGCACCAGAATGTTGAAGCACATTTTGTATTCAACTGGTTAGGGTCACACATTGTCGGAGCAGTTTTTACTACAATGATAAAACACAGACAAATTAGTGTACCTGTGACTGGACCAGGAGATCTAATAAGAGCACTTTTTCCCCACTTTCCTTTTTTATATACTTGAGTTTGATACATTTAAGGGGCTATAGCAGCTTTGCATCTTTGGGCCCTGGGGGAAAAGGAAAAAAAAAAATTTGAGGGGGGGGGGTGGGGGTGTGTATATATCTATATGGCAGATCATCTCTACACTCAATGTAAGAACCTGCAGGGTGCTTAGCCCTGCCCCTGAGGAGGAAGGCCACACCCCCACAGAACACAAATGATGCATCATACACTATTTATAAATATGCTACAGATGATAACTTGGATGAATTGTAGGTGGTGCTGTCTCAGCGAGTCTGGACTCCATAGCTGATGACACGTTGCCCACCACATGTTGTATTTATAATATACATACAGATTTATTATAAATATCTATATTAAATGATTTTGCAATTATTTGTATATAAAAAGAATCCATGAGAATGAAAAAATGTGTGTGTCTTAATTTTTATTGGTTTTGCTGATAAAAAGCACATGGGTTGGGGTTAGTCATCAGTAATCCCCGAGAAGACCGAAGCAGGGACTGATTTCTGCTCCAATTGTACTTCTGTGAAGGAAAGAAAAAAAAAGAGGTTTGATGAATTATTCATGATAACGCAATAGAAAAACTATATACACAATGCCATCTAGTGACCGGTCAGGGTGATGCAAGGAACAAACAGCACACTCATTTCGGCTCCATTCACACTTGTGCAATGTGTTTTGTGCCTTTAAGCCTCAAAATTCGCACAACCCATTCTTTTTAATGGCACCCGTTCAAATCTGTGTATCTTAAAGTCGCAGCGACTTTGAAAAGCTGCCTGCACTACATTGGTCCAGAGAATGTAAAGTTGGATGAAAGTCGCACTAATGTGAATGGAGCCTTATAAGGCATTTTGCGCTGTATATACCGGTATATATATTTTTTTTAATTTCGGACTGGAGGTCAACCTTTTGTACCGATGAAATAAGTAAACTGGAATTTGTTAGGTTAGGCCCCTTTCAGACGGGGCAGACCCATCAGTGGATTCACCTGTTCAGCGGGGATCTCTCCGTTGAGCAGGCGGTTGCCAGGTCTGTTTTGCAGCAGTAGAGCAGACACAGACACTACATTCTATGGGGCGGTCAGATGGAAACGGACCACCTGTCTGTTTCTATCCAACTGCTATCTGATCCGATCCACCACATGGATGGGGAACGGATCCCCATCCATCTGTGTTTGGCAGATCGGGTGTCAGCAGATACTTCTCCACTGACAGCCCAGTCCATAGAGGCCTATGGATAGTCCAATCAAGTCCGCCTGAAAAACTGACAGGCGGACCCAATCGGACAGTCAGAATTAAAGAGGCCTTTTATCCACTCCATTAACACGTCAGCCTCACTCTGTTATTACCAAAGGTAAGAAGGATTGTATGTTATCCTATTAATTGATATATAGACTCACTCTATGCTGTCTAACAAATCTGTATCCACTTTTCATGTGTACAACCCACACAAGGTAGACCTCCCTCCTAATGCTCTTATGTAGTGTTTATAGATTTAAATACATGACATATAGATTTATACTGGCTCTATTTATGCCATTGCATGCACTGAAAATACAACACACACACCTTTATTATTTCAAAATACATGAATTTAAACTGCTCCCACCAAAGTATTCTAAATTTTGAATTGTTAGAAAAAAATCTAAAAACAAGACAATATACTTCACACACAAAGAAGAGCTTGATTATTCTATGTGCTTTTGAGATTGAACCCTCCTCATGAGGGAAGCTAAAACCAGATCCTGAACACAGGTTTGTAACTTTGACATGTGTTAATAAAATTGTACAGATCATTGCAACTATTTAGTGTATCCATGTGAATTATAGCGCATTTTATTCTGGACAAATTGGGCTCTCATTTGGTGGTAAATAGTAATGGATATCTCCCTCTTTTTTATTATTACTATTCACTATGGTCTCCCACAGTACAAGAAAATGCATTAATTTTAGTAACTATAAACTGCTAAATACATTTTGCCATCAGCAATATAGATCAGTCTTGTGATGTCTATCAGCATCCAGCCAAGCACTGGTTAAAGCTTGTAGGAGGAGTTTTCATTCTGCTCTGACCATCCTATGAAGCTGCATAACCCCTGACCCTCTGGACAGTGCTGATCCCATGTACCCTCTCCAAAAGGGAATAAAAAAAACTCTAGCCATACACAACACCAAACTGAGCATGTGCAGAGTGACTCCTAGAGCTCTGTACTACCAGCAGACAGCTTGGGGACAGTAGAAGTGAAGGATAAGAAAAAAGGATCAAACAGCCTTTTTACACAATGTGGAGAATTAACCCTCTAGGTTCCACAGCAAGTATAACAAGCATACTTTACTACAAATACAAGTGGATTTTACTGTTGTGGGTTTAGTATCACTGTAAAAGGAAAACTGGCAAAAAAAAATTGTCAAAGATTTCATTTATTACATTGTTGCTACTACTGTATTCTACCATGAAAAAGCAACCCAAAATAAAATTCTCCTGCCGACCACAGCAATACCACAAATGTGTGTATATATGTTTGTACCCATAGTGGGGTCCAGAAACAATAGTGCGCATTTTACTACCCTCAAAATATACCAAGCCTGACCTCTGACTGTGATTATGATCTCTGACACTGACCTAGATCAAAACACTAGTCTAATTTTTCTTTATTTTCTTCTTACACACACACACACCTTTGTTTACTTTTTTCCTCTACAATGCACCTTTTTCTCCATTCAAGAGGAGAGAAAAAAAAATGGTAGCAGTCCATACATTAAGTGATTACAGTGACAGCCAATCAGAGGTTATCACAGCGATCAGGTACCAGAATTCCCAGTCCCCAATTACTGAGATTGTGGTCTCTGTTCTGGGGGTTGCGATGTGCAACGCGCCCAGAGCACAAAACTCAGGTATGCATATATGCGGCTTCACAGATAAAGACCCACTTCCTGGGGGGCGCATATATGTGTACAGGTGGCAGGAAGAGGCTAATCTGTAAAGGTTAGATTCAAAGCTGTGAGACATGGAGAGCTGAATTGCCAATCATTTTGAATGGCACCCCATCAAACCTGCATTTTAGCATACCAATGCAAATATCAATCATCTTTGGAGAGTTGTGCTCTGCATTGGGGGGGAGATTGAGCCAGCCCATTAAAACATGCATAGACAGCCCATTTAAAATGAATAGGCTGCATACCGCAAAGCATATTAACACACCGCAATAATGTGGATCCAGCCTAATTAGCAAGCTATAAAAACTAACAGGCACCTGTACTCAACAAATGTGGAGGAACCAACAAATCCAATTTCGACCTCACTACCGTTTTAGGTTTGTGTCTCTCCCAGCTAAAGTATATTCAACGAATAACAAAATCACATCCAGGAGTATGAGATGCTAATCACTCACCATCCGGCTCCAGCTCCTCCTCTGACTCATCTTCCTCTCCTATGTTAATCTCATCTGGATTTGCCTGCAGTGTCATCTCTGCTAATTCTGTCTTCGAAGCATCAGACCTGAACAGAAGAATAGAATAAGAGGTCATTTCTTTTGTTGGAGAACACTTAAAAGAGGAGTGAGTGAATATCCAGCAGCTACAAACCTAACAAACAGGATCTTCTCCTTCATCTGTGGTTTATCTCTTTCAGCCTCTGCTGCCACCACCGCTGCCTTCTGCTCCAGTGCCTGCATCTCATCCACCGGTTCTAGGAGAACAAGCACAGTTACACAAGTAGTCCACTTATTAACGTGGAACTGCATATTTTTTTTTTTTTAAAGGAGGTTCTAATTCTTCCTTGCTTAGAGGTAATAGGTAACCTCCATAATGGGAACACAGGGATAAAACCTGGCAGGGGATCTAACCTATCTCCATTCAATTGAAAACTTCTTCCCATTGTTTATGTCCCTATTAGAGACATTCTGCTTGTTTTCTGGTCTAGTGACAACACATTAAATCTCCAAAAAGGAGATACACCGCAATAAACACAACACAGGGTGTCTAAACAATTTCCTTCCCGATCCAAAAAGAGAATAATATTTTGGTTGGATCTGCCATCATGAAGGCTCCTACAGAGTTATCTTTTTTTCTACACTGAAACATGTTTGAGGGGAGTAAAGGAAAGATACAGTGGGAAAAAAATAGAAATTTTTTCTTTGTGGCTTTCAATGAAGGCTATGGAGACATCGTGTGACCCAATCAGTTATGTAAGAAAGAGGCATCACCTTATGTAATGGTTCCTTACAGCAAGAGTGATTAAGCTGTGGAATACTTTAGTACCCATTCACACAGGGTGGAATCTGCTTGCTCAGTGGGGGATTTGTCCGCCGATTCCCTGCTGAGCAGAGCGCAGCGGGCATGGGATATGGACACAGCCTGCTCCGTTTATGGGTGGTTGGATGTACACAGACCAGCTGTCTGTTTACACCCGAATGCCCTATGATCCGATCCTCCCAGAACAGATCCCCTTCCTTTTGTTTTTAGTGGGCTGGATGTAGGCGGGTGTAAATGGACACAAGTCTGTTTCCATCTATCACTCATCAAAAATGGACAGGTGGGCCAGATTGGATCAAATCGTGTGAAAGGGGACTACAGTGGCGGTGGCAATACCAAAAAAACAAACAAACCCAAAACTGACTGGGAAGGGAGAGGATCAGTAAACCTTTTTTCATTTCTTTTACTTCCTTGCTCACAGGGTTTTGTTCTATCTTCAGGAGATGCTCTGAAATAATGAACGTGCGAGGCAATAGACTTGTTTTTTTAACCACGAGATATATTACTATACAAGCTGAACAACCATGTTTGTAGGAGATTCAGACATGATGGCTAGATCTCTGTAATCAGAACTTTAAAAAAACTAATGCAGCTCTATATTTATTAATACATTAAGCAATGTAAATACCGAATCTTGATTTGGTTTTAACCTCCTGCAATTCCCTGTACAGCAAGCACATACTGGGAGGAGAAGATGCACAAGGAGACAATTTGTTACGTTGCAGTGCTCAAGTGCTAACAAAAACTGGGGGGGGGGGGGACAGAGAGATGAGCTCATCAATCGGGGGGGTTTACGGAAGTGACAGAGTGATGAGCTCATCAATCAGCGCGCGGGGGGGGGGGGGTTTGAAGTGAAGAGAGATGAGCTCATCAGTGTTCTGCTTCTCCTTTCACAATCTAAGATCTGTAGTTCAAAGTGAAACTGGAACAGAGAAAAATCAGCTCCTCATTTCCTGCCAGACAAGCCTGTGCTGTGTGGCAAAGATGTGTAAATATCCAAACTGGATGGCTAGAAGTACAATCTCTTGGGACAGATGAAGCTGCTGCCATTTATGTAATCCCGCTATGTATTTAGCAGCTTGTCTGGAGTTCATCTTTAAACACTTCATGTGGGGTACAGTAGAATTCACCATATGATGGCCATATACAATGGCAGATGAGATGACCAGGGAGTTCAACAAACCAACTGATCAGGCCGGCTAAGTTCCTTGAAAACATTACCTTTGGATTCCTGGCCTCCTCCTTCTGCCCTCAATCTCTGGGATACAAGGAAAGTGCCCTGTGTGTTGTATTTGGCTTGCACACTTCGTTTCACACGTAGCATCTCCCGAATTGTGTCCTCATTGCCATGGCGCACTTCAAAGTCTCTCCAAGTCTGCCAGAACCCCGCCGTCAGCTGCAAAGATGGATATAAAGGCCGTGTGTATGTATGACATTGTGCAGATAAAGTTACTGCTAACAGAGACCATATACAGAAAGTGGCCACCTGGTCCAGTCTAGTAAAATGCTCACCCTGGGATCACACATCTGGGAACAGTAGGAATACACAGCTCGGGCTCGATCAATCTCTCCAAGCTTACACTCCATATCTGCAAAACGCAGGCACATCTCTCGAGACTGCTCATCTGCCAACAGCTGAGAAAATAGATTCATAGAATGGAAAATACCTTCCTGAACATTTAGTACAAATACCAACTGATGTCAAGGTCACCCACACACAGGAAATTTATATTACATTACTTTTCTGCTAATTATTGGCTGTTTTCTTATAACTGTAGGTGACTTAACTATAGCAACAGCAACAGAGTGTGACCTCACCACTTCCTACCACTAATATTCTGTTACAACAAACCTAAACCACCAAATAAAAACCAGAATGCGGATCAGATGGTCTGACTTCACTGGCTATGACTGCTCTGGACCGAGCATTAAAGAAGAACTTCAATGTAAACATTTTCTACAGTCTTTATATTAACCAGTTGCCACCCAGCCTATAGCCAGATGGCGGCTGGGTGAACAGCTCGTCCCTCCAGGTGGATGTCATATGGCGTCCTTTCCAGAACGCGCATTGCGCATGCCCGCAGGGCCACGCTATCACCGGCCGCGTACCTCGGACACAGCGGATGACAGATCTGAGTACTGGCCCCGTTGCCAGTACCATGTGACCTGCTGTGACCAATCACAGCAGGTCACATGACAGTTGTATACAATGGATGGCTTCCTTTCATACTGTCCATTGTATACAAGTCTGTCTAGCTGTGAATGGTCACAGTGATCACATGCACAAGCTGGGCCAATCACAGCTAATCATAAAAAAAAAAACCCTGAATTAATCGATGTCATTCAGGTAAATGCTTGCTTATAGCAAAGTAATTACTTGTTATAAGCAAATGATGTAAAAAAAAAAAAAAAAATACTGATGACTTCCCCAAAGTAGTACAATCTTACTATGGTAACATTATACTACTTTGGTCATGGTTTGGCAATATGAAAAAAAAAAAAATCTTAGAAAAAAAATTTAATAAAAACTAAAAATAATTTAAAAAAATGAAAACAAAAATTGAAAAAAATAATTTTTTTTGTAGTATCACCAGTGTCCCTGATCACCGCTATGCCAGTTATATGATGCTGTACTGCACTGGTGACAGTATGTATAAAAAAAAAATAAAAAATTAGTGAAAATCTTTTTTAATTTCTTAATTTTCTGAAAAATTATGACAAAAAATTACAACTTCAAAAAACTCGGCATGCCTGTTATGAAGTACATCGGACTGTCTACTTTGCAAAAAGGGGTCATTTGTGGGATATCTGTACTGTTCTAACATTCTTGGACCTCAAGAAATTAGATTGGCCGTCAGTACTTCAGGATTGATCAATATTCAGATATATCCCATAGTTTGTGAACTCTATAACTTTCCTACAGACTAAATAATAAACACTGATTTGGGTTACTTTCACACAAGACATGTAGTAGAATACATCTCGGCCTAAATTTATGAAGAACAATTATTTATTTGTAAACTTTTATAACAGAAACAAAGAAAAACGTGTTTTTTTTTTTTTTAATTTTTGGTCTTTTTTTGTTAATTTAGCAAAAAATAAAAACCCCAGTGGTGATTAAATACCACCAAAAGAAAGCTCTAGTTGTGTGAAGAAAATGATAAAATTTTAGTTTGGGTACAGTGTCGTATGACCGCGCAATTGTCATTCAAAGTGTGAGAGCGCTGAAACCTGAAAAATGGCCTGGGCAGGAAGGGGGAAAATTGCCCGGTATTGAAATGGTTAAAGGATAAGTTCACCTTTATAACATGTTACACCTATATTCAGGGTGTTACATGTAGCAAGTTACTGTAACACCAGCCCCCACATCCCCCCCCCCTCCGATCCCCCGTTATGGGAGTAAATCTTTATTTAACTCCATTTAGATTAGGTTATGGACATATTAAGGAGCATGGTTTTTATTTTTAGTTACTTCACATGTGAATGACTGTAGTTAGCGTTTCATCACAAACAATGGCTAGAAGGGTTACATTAGGTACCAAGTTGTACCTGTAGTTCTTCTTTGAAAAGACAAGGTCACTTAAAGTGGAACTTTAGTCAGAAAATGAAGTCCTGCTAGATCACTTCAGGCTGGCCCTTTTTTCAGGTATAGCTATGGAAAACATTAACCCCTTTGTGCCGAAGGGTAAAACAAATCTTAATGCCTAAACACAATTGTGCAACTTTGACATGTGTTCGCAAAACCGTACATATCATCACAACTACTTTGTACATCCAGGTGGCTTATACCGTGTTTTTTTCAGGACAAATTGGGCTTTCATTAGGTGGTAAATGGTAATAGATATCTCCTGACTTATTGCTTTTTTCTTTTATCACCAAAGGAAAACTGGCCCAAAACAGTAAAAAAAAAAAAAAAAATTGCAATGATACCACGTGTGTATATTAGTTGTTGTTTGTACCTGTAGTACAGCCCCAAAACCAATTTGCTTTTTTTTTCTTTTATTCTGACACTGATATTAATTTAAATATTAAAAAAAAAAACAAAAAAAAAAACCTGACCTTCACAAAACACTAACCCTGGCGCAGACCTAGATCAAACCTTTATCTAGGTATCTTTGTTTATTTTATTATTATTTTTTTTTTTTTTTTTTTTTTACACACACACGTTTTTTTTCTCTTTGAAAGGACAGGACAGAGAGATACAATATATCTCTCTCCTCCATTCAGAGAAAGAAAAAAGGGGGATGGGCTTCACAGTCAGAGGCTATCACAGCGATCAGGTGACCCGGAATCATATTTTCTCTTGGTAGTTGTGTGATGAATTTAGGGCAGCTTTGGGTGGCTCTGTCCAAACAACCACATCATCCATTCACAGCAATGGGTGAATGAAAATACTACACGTCCCATCTGCCACCACCACAGAGGGACTCAGCAAAGTGCATTGGTGGTGTGGTGACATCACCGCACTTGCAGCCCATTAACATCTTTTTCCATCCTCATAACAGAAGGTCCATATTTCTGTACAGAACTCGGGTCGGGGGGGTAAACAATAAAAGAGCCTCTGCATTGCACCTGCAACACATTGATTGTGGTTTCAAGGCTCTCTAGGTCTGAATGAAAAATCTGATACATTTTTATTTTATCACTGTTGGTGAATTTGTTACACTTCTGAAAGGTGGACTATGCCTTTAAAGTTACAGTGATTTAAAATTTCAGAGTTTAAGGCATTTCAAAAAAAAAAAATGTAAATGCAAGAAGATAGGTACCTCTATAGCTCGCTCATAAATGCTTCGGGTGTGTGTGACTCCATATATTTCAGCAGCTCTCTTGATGTAAATGTTGAACATCTCGTACTGTTCTCCTGGCTCTACGGCCTGAGTAGCACGCTCATATAAAGCCATGGCATGTCTGGCCAGGCCATGCTCCTCCTCCAGCTTGGCATACAAGAGAAAGATATCTAGGGTATAGAAGAATGAAAGTTACAAAGTCTGATAAATCTATGACCCCATCACCCAGTCGAAGTTTCTAGAGAATACAAACTTTTGGCAAATTTTCTAGGACAGCCATCCAGAGCCTGTTCAAACAGATCACGGGCTCTCTCCAGCTTTTTTCCTCCATATCGAGCGATGAATTTGGACAGATAAGTACTCCAGATATCGTAGACATTTGGCCAGCGAAAAAGGGCAATGCCACGCTCATAGGCCTGGAGTCAAAGAAAGATAAAAAAAAAAAAGATAAAAATCATTTTCTGGAGATTTGACCTGTCTGATTTGCCTCATCTCTCCTGAATGCCACTTATATTTCCCATTACCTACACCTACCTTAAAACTTTCTTCATAATAGTTGTGTTCCTCCAAGAACATAGCGTAGTTGATTATAATCTGTGGGGTGGCTATGCGGAGATCAATGATCCTATCGTACACAGCCTTGGTGGACTAAGAACAGAGATTTCATATTAGATATGTGAAGTCCATAGATTTATCATGCCATTTAAAATTAAAACTTAGTTGTAGTGATATTAATAAAGTAGCACCATTAAAGTGGTTGGAAAGGCTAAAAGGTATTTTACCTTAATGCAATCTCTGTATTACAGTAAGGGAAAAAAAAAAAAAACAAAAACACAACACATTCATGTTCAGCTCCCCCACAGTCCCCCTAAATACTTACCTGAGCCTGATCTTGATCCAAAGCTGTGCTCTAGAGCAGCAGTAATGCTCTCTCCGCTCACAGGACTCGGAGAAAGCAGCGGGAGCCATTGGCTCATGCTACTGTCAATCAAATCCTGTGACAAGAGATTGGGGGTGGGGCCGAGCTACACTCTCTGTGTGTCAATAGATGCACACAGCCCAAATCTGGCTCAAGGCTGTACATCTGCGCTTGCTAATCGGGCCAGACACAGAAGAGGAGGAGCCACAATCGCTGGCAGGAAACCCCAGAAGAGGAGGTTCGGGTTGCTCTGTGCAAAACAACTGCACAGAGCAGGTAGGTATAACATCATGTTTGTTATTTTAAAGTGGTATTATACCCAAAAGCAAACATTTATTGTAGTTTACAAATTCTTAGATGTAATAGCTGAATTCCTGTTCTTTTACACGCTTTTTCTTTATTTTCACCTGCTGATCCTGAAAGAAAGTCTGTTGTATTTCAACATAACAAGCTGTCCTGCAGTTAAAGATGACAGAGGATTTAGAGCAGGGGAATGCAACCTTTGAGATATGGAGATCTACCTGAACAACATGAAAGTGATCAAAGATTTCCAGGGTTCAGCACCATTTACAAAAAAAAGAAAAAAAAAAAAAAAAAAGCACCGTTTCCCTTACGGTAACGCCTTTTCCAGGAGTCTTTCAGGACAGCACCTTGAGAGCTTCGGCTCCTACCCACCTGAGGAAACACCTCCACCCAGAATACAAGAGCGGCCTCCCCACACCGACCTCAGTTCATGACTTAGCACCTCCGGTCACTTGGGGAGACACAATACAAGACACACAAAAGAACCGTACCTTATAACCAAATGCTAACAAGGGTGGGTAACTGGCATTGTCCTGAAAGACTCCTGGAAAAGATGTTACCACAAGTGTAACTTTGCTTTTTCCCCTCTCCGTCTTTCAGGACAGCACCTTGAGATGATCCGCGAGCACTCACCCCTAGGGCGGGACCACCGCTTGTAGAACCTTGCGTCCGAAGGCCTGCTTCTCTATCGAGACCAGGTATAGTCTGTAATGCTTAACGAAGGTGTTGTAATTGGACCAGGTGGCAGCCCTACAAACCTGTCCTAGGGTTGCATAAACCAGCTCAGCATACGTGGCCGCCATGGCCCGGGTGGAGTGCGCCACGATACCCTCCGGGACTTCCAGACCCTCGGTCAGATAAGACTATCTAATTGCAAGTCTCAGCCACCTAGCTAAGGTGCGCCTAGAAGCTTTACAACCCTTCCTTGCTCCTGCAAATGATACAAAAAGGGAATCTGACTTCCGATCCCCTTAGTCCTATCTAAATAAAGAACACATCTTCTAATATTCTAGTTAAATTTCCTTTCTTGGTCACAGGAGGGGTTAGAACAAAATGAAGGTAAAGTAATTTCTTGGCCTCGATGAAATCTCGAGGATTTCATCTGAAGGAAGGGGGCCCTAATCCTCGCTGTAGTAACCACTACCAGGAATACGGTCTTGAGGGTCAGGATTTTCAGGGAACTTGAATCCAGAGGTTCAAATGGGGGTGGGGGGGATACTACCCTAGCTAAAAACCCTTTGCTCTTAACAGCTGCTCCTCAGAAACCAGGCCGCTAGGTTCCATCTGTCTACCTGGGGACAAAGGACCGGACCCTGAGAAAGCAGGTTCTCTCGGCACAGCAATATCCAAGGAGGATAGATGGCCAGGGCCGCCAGGGTCAAAAACCAAGCCAGTCTCGGCCAGTGAGGGGCTATCAGGATCAGGGAAGTTCATTCGGATCTGAAATTCCTCAGAACTGCTGGCAATAAGGAGACTGGGGAGAAAGCACCATAGCTGTGCTAGTGCATCCACTGCCAACGCCCCGTCCCAACGATTTAGGAAGAAGAAAACCAGGACTTTGGTATTCTGGCCCCACGTGAAAAGGTCTATGGATGGAGACCCCCACTCCCCTATGATGGCTTGGTAGATTTCCCAACTGAGCACCCATTCTGATTCCCTCAGCTGCCTTCTGCTGAGAACATCTGCCACTTTGTTCAAATCCCCCTTCAGGTGGATGGCAGATAGGGAGGCTACATTGGTCTCGGACCACGTGAGCAGTTCCGAGGTCAGGGACCACAAAGTTTTGCTTCGAGTCCCTCCCTGTGTTGATATACACCATGACGGAGAAGTTGTCCAGGAGGACCCACGCATGTCCCCGTAGCTGCTCCCGGAAGGCCACAAGGGCCAGCGATACGGCCTTGAGTTCTTTCCAGTTTGAGGATCTGCCCCTCTATTCTGTTAGCCAAGAACCCTGGGCCATGAACTCCTCTAGCTGTGCTCCCCAACCTCTGGCACTCAAATTGGCTGACTTCCTCCACCACCAGAGGGTCCTCTTCACCCATGGGCGTACCTGTACAAAGGAGTTCAAAGACTCCTGCTGGCTTTCCCAGACGACCAGAATGAACAGCTGGAGGGGCCGCAAATGCAAACCTTCCCACTGTACCTCCGGGTTGGACGAGGCAAGCAGGCCCAACACCGCCATAGACTCTCTTAGGGACACGGCCTGGTTCCCTAACTGCTGCCTGATTCCCCTGTCCAACTTTAGGATTTTCTCCTGGGGTAAAAAGGTTTTCTGAAGGGTGGAATTCAGCTTGTAGCCCAGGTACACCATCCTTTGGCCAGGGACCAACTTCAAGTAGCAGTGGAGGAGGCTTGGGGAAAATAAGGGGGGGTGGGGGGGAAGAGGATAATATTTGCGGTCTACCTGTTGCCAACCGATTTAGAGAAACCATTTATCACTGACAATTGCTTACAATGATCAGTAATATTTATGTAAAACTTTTGTTATAAAAATTAAAAAAAACCTCTTTGCTGTAACTGCTTTAAAAAGTGTTAACTAGCTCCCCTTACTACAACATAGAAAAGCTGGATTAAGGATGGATTAACATTTTTTAGTGTTTATGTTGCTTACGAACCAATTGTGCCAAGCACTCCGTTATCATACAATAAACAAATGTCAATTTAAATGGATCCAAGCACATTCTGCACTTTGCTAGTGAAGTATATTTGGGGGAATGATTTACCAAGGACGCCTTACCTTAAAAGTACCTAAACTTTCCTCCAGATCAGCCAACATAGACCACACCTTCAATGACTTATACAATCTGTTCTGCACAGGCTCCGAGGCGTCAAAGTATTCAGCCTTACGAGCTGGCACTGCAGTGGCTTTCTACAGGGACAGAGGTGAGACAGTCAGATATATCCCAATAAACTGGGCAGAGCATGCTTTAATTATTTCAGTCCCTACATACTCACTCGGAGTATTGTCAGAGCCTCCTCATAGTTCTCATGTCTCAGCTCCATTTCACCAAATTGGCACCAGACAGAGGCCAAGTCATCCACATGTGTGTATCGTACCTGGGTCGCTCTTTGGAGGATGTCTCGGGCCTAAATCGCATAAAAGGAACATATATTTTCCATACTCATTTTGTGAACTTACAGCCCAACAAGATACAGTACAGATGGATCAAGAACTTCATTTAGGTTTTTTTTATGCTACAAAACCATTAAATCCTTTCAGCACTACACTTACGTGCCTAATGATGGTGTGCTTGGCTTACAGTGTTCTAGCTCATTTACAAGAAATAGCCAGCAAAATGCCTATGTAGCTCAAAGTGAAAGAGAGCGGTCAAAGAAAAAACAAAAAGAGAAGGCACGTAGCAACCAATGACATTTTGGGGCCACCAGAGATTGAGATTTTATGTGCTGTCTGTGTCCCAACTGAATACATTTCTCTTTCTTCCTGTTATGTCCAACAATTATCACCAGAACAGGAAGCGAGAAGCAAACTAACAAATTCTAGTTTTATTTGAGGCCTTCGTGCCTGATGGGGCATTCCCTTCACTTCCATTTTTTCCAAAAAAACCTGTCAGACAGAAATAACAGAGACTTTTCATCTTTTCTTGTTCTGTCTGACACCAGCAAAGTGGACTGGAAGTAAAAATACATTTCCCAAACAGGAACAAAACCATGTTTTTAAAAATGTGTCTAAAACTGGGCTTAAAGTATATCTGAAAGCAAAACATTTTTTTAGTTTTGGATAAAATGTGGAAGGATTAGAACCCATGTTAGATTTCTACTGCCGTCTCCACTTGAAGGATTCACTTTATTTGTCCTGGTGACCATTGTCACTGGATTCGAAAATGAGAAAAAATTTAAAATTTCCAAAACAGGAAAATGGTAACTCTTTCAATAAGGATATGTGTTCTGGTGACAATGTTTAAGGACATATTCACCTCTGGAAAGATTTGTCATCACCACCTGTTGTGTTTACAGGACCAGAAGTGAAGGAAAATCTCATAGGGAGAATAAATCTTGTTAAAATGATTCTCCTACCCAAATTTCTGTACATGTTTTGGCACTCCCCTGTGTTACAACCTCTGAAAATCTTTAAAACAATTGATGCCATCCTTAATACATACATCTGGGGACTAGGCAGGCATAAACTGCCCTAGCTCACACTTAAAAACTCGACCACTCTGGGTGGAACGGCCCATCCTGACTCCACTTCTACTACCTGGCAGTGCAGTTGTCCCACTTCTATCATTTAGACAAGTCTGAAGCCAATTACTACCAGACGTTAGTCTGTAGACAACCAGATTGTGGGCAGCTGGGAGCCAACAACACGAATGCACCATAGAACTGTCTGGGAGTTAGCTCTGAGGCAAATCAATGCCCACCACCACCACCACACACACGTTCCCATTTGGTATAACTCCCAGCTACCTGAGCTCATATCCATTTCTAATACTGAATTATGGGCCTCAATAAGGGGTCCTCTACCCATATCAGGTACGCACAACCACAAGTCCAAAGTCATTTCAAACCCTGAAGAGGAATTTGATCTCCCGAACCATATGCTATGTAGATATCTACAGCTCCGACATGCTTTATGGGCTCAGTTCCCGGGCCCTCTCCCTACCCTTCAGTCTGTCTCTGAGAGATTATTACAGGCACAAAACCCACTAGGCCGATATCATCTTTACATAATGCTCTGTGTACTCCCACAACTGCCAGCATAGCAGACAGAGTCACGATTTGATGAGAGCCAGATGCTGGGTCTGTGTAGGCTGAAGAGTGGGATGAGGTATTGGAAGGTATCAAGCTAGTTTTACCCAGGCTATACGAAAGACTGACACAACTTTACATTCTGCACAGATCTTACCTCACCCCGCTGCGGGTTTCTAGATATCGCCCAGAACAGAGCTCACTATTTCCTTGATGCTTGGAGGGCTTCAGGCACCTTCTTTAATCTATTACGGGCCGTAATGTGGGCCTACTAGGAGCAAATTGTTAAATTCTTACACGACCGCATGGGCTCTCCACTTTAATTAGAACCAAAACCATGTCTATTGGGCCTTCTTCCAGAATTGGAAGTTTCTTACTATTTATTATCTTGCACTAAATCCTTTTCAGTGCTCGGAAGCTTGTTGTGCGTCACTTGATGCAGGCTGCGCCCCCCCCCCCCCCATTTCAAGCCTGGCTGACAGAAGTTAACTCTACACTTCCATATAAAAAAAACTAGTTTATCTTCATAGAGGCTGCCCTATGAAATAGAATATAATATGAGACAGGTGGCTTGGACAGCCAGACACTTGTGTGTCTTGATACCAACCTAGGGGCTCTGCATCAAGGCCTTGGACTTATATGTGTGTACACCTGTCACATACTGCCTTTATTACCATCTTGCCCTACCAGGTAAGCATCATTAAACTGGGGTTTGTTGTCACTCTCTCTACCTCTGACCCCCCACTATTAACCTAGCTCTCAAGCCTTGGAAGTTGGTGCAAAAGTATTTGAATATCAAGTGTAATGTATTTACTGTCATCTGCCAATTACGTCTGTAACAAGCTAGTATAATATGGACTTTAATTATGTCTTTTTTTTGCTGTGCACTAGGTCATGCAAATGTACTATGTTCTATCCCTGTCAATAAAGTTGATTTTTTTTTTTTTTTTTAACTTAAAATAAAATTCATGACGAAGCCCCTATTAGGGAGAATTATATTGAAGGAGTAGGAGAGGCTCTGGTGGTAAATAATGTGCTGCAATCTAGCTTTTTGAGTTTGCACTACATGTAACAAAGCTTGTTGGATATGATATCAAGAAAGAAAACACAGAAGTTAAGTCTGCTTGTCTCTATCTTGTATTTTTCACTTGCCTATGTAAAAGAGTCTCTACCCAGGTCAAACCTTTTTCGTTATAAAGAACTGCTTAATAAGGCCTCTTGCTTTGTAGTTGAGTATCTATGAATAGACATTAAGTACGGAAGTGGTGACATGTTAGTTTTTAAACATATCTAAAGTCAAAAAATGAATTTTACCTGGAGAGAAACTATTTTACAAGTCAAGTGGAAAATACAAGAGCTCTTTATAAAAAAAAAATAAATTTAGTAAATCTTACTAAGGTCACCTCCCACAACCTCCATAACAGGAAAACAATTAAAATGGTTTTACATCTCGATGGACTGCCTGACATGGAAGCCAATGACGGACACATATTTTAATCCCTACTTATTCACAAACATTTTACTGTAAGATTCAAATCAGGACATGTCAAGAAAACATGGCAGTTTGGCTGTCAATATAAACTACTCACATCATCAATCTGTCCATTGTCTTCATAAAATTTAGCAAAAGCAACCCAGAGTGTGTGCGGCTTCCCAGTGGCCTTTGCTGGATCTACAGTCTGGACAGCTTCTGTGTATGTGTTAATGATCTGTAAAGAAATACATAAAGAAGAGAGAAAGAAAGCATGAGTAAATCTTACTTTCCAAAGCATCATAATACATAAAAAATGTGCTGTGTGTGTCATCTGTAGGCTCTTTTAACTTAGCTGAAGTTCATAGGCATTAGTAAAATTGTCATCAGGGAAAGTTACACAGAGGTAAAGGGCTACTATCAAAATGTAACGTGCTAAAGCAAATTACAAGTCGAGGTACACCGGTACAAATGAGCCTGCTGTGGTTAGTGGGCCTTACAATGCAGTAGTGAGACCTGTTATCCATAGCTCCAATAGCAAACAATAAAACGTAGTAAATTAGATTCATCGGTGATATACAGTATCTTGTGTTCGCTAAGGCTGACCATACATTATACAACTTCCAGATTTACCAAAACCATATGAGGGCACACCTAAACACTTTCAATTTATTTGCAATAAGGCAGGCCCTTGCTTTACATAGGTGAAGCCAGCTCTAAAGGAAATTGAATTAAAAAAATTGTATAAGGTATGGCCAGCCTTACAGAATGCCTGCTGTGAGGAGTTTAGTTTACAAAGTACCAACACAGCTTAAAGCCAAACTCCAGGAAAATGAAAAAAATGTACCCTAGCAATGGGGCCCCCCACGAAAAGCAAACACTTTTTATGTTTAGAGGAGAGTTGAAAAGGCTTGATCACTTACATTGAACCCTGGTCCAGCCAGCATCGGCTCTCTCCTCCTCTGCCAGAAACTGGTCTGTGGGCAGAGCCTCAGCATCATCATGTACAAGAGAGACATTAACCCTGTGTGGTATGCTGAGCAGGCCGCAGTGCAATCATTGCAGCTTGCAGAGCATGCTGCAATGGTCCTGTTGCAGTGCAGGAGGGAGCCTGCTGGAGCAAGGTACACATCTACTCTTCAATCCTCTGCCCCTAGACTATGAGCATTTAATCCTTACAGTGGGGAGGTCACTGAAAAGGTAGATTATTTAATTTTATTGGAGTTGGGCTTTAAAGAAGTCTATATACTTGTTCTTCAACCTGTCCCCCTAGGGACAATGTGCATGTAGAACTTATAATAGAAACTTTGTATTCAGTGTTGTATGGTTGACAGTAGCCCCCCCGTGCTGCATGGAGAGGGGAGCATGTCAGCACACAAACAGAAATTAACTCAGGGCATGGTCACAGTAGAGGGGACGCAAACTGCAGCCACAAGGTCCTGAAATAGCGAAATCTTTAGGAACACACAGCTGTTTATGTTCTCATTAGAGGGGGTGGTAACAACTGGGCTGGGTTTAAGCTCCACTGTAGAAAACCCCAAAAATCCAGCTTCATGAAGGGATAGAGCTCAAAAGGTAAGAATAGCACTGCTAAAGATGAGATTTTATGGGGAATTACCCAGCCTCTTTTTATTAAACCTGAGAAAATGGTTTACAAGTGATTCAAGAGACCAGCAGGTAATATTTTATATCTCATATGACTTCAAGCTGGCTACTTCTAAAAAAAAAAAATTAAGGTGCCTGGCTGTCATGGTGGTCCTCTTGCTGCAATACCCGGAGTCATTGACCCAGAACAATAATGTAGATAAGAAGTGCTGACTTGATTCTTGGCATTCTTGTTGCAGATAAGTGACTCAAAGTATGTAAACCAATGAATTGGCAAGGTAGCCAACTAGCATTTCCAAAATATGAAGCTGGATTTAACCTTTTCCTCAGCACATATTTCCTTTTAGTACAGAGGGAAGTCTTTTATCTTGTTGCCCTATCTTCTTCGGATGAGATGTACAGTATATCAGAACCCCAGGCAAAAATTAAGAAATACTTTTCAGCCTAGTAACATTTTCAGTAAAAGATCCTTAAAATGTATTTGTACATGCTGCTTTTATACAACATGTCCACATCTGAACTTCCCATAATTCCCTGCGCCCAAAAAAAAAGTCAGGCTTACAGAGGGAGGGCATACACTGTGAGACTACCACATTTTACAGTCAATACAACAATTGTCAGCCACTTGGAGAATATGAGGGGTGCATAGGGTTGGCCCCTCCACTGCGCTGATGTTCCCTCAATTCAAGCTGGAGGGCTGAGGTATAAATGGCTTGCAGCCTGATGCCTACTTGCAATTTGTGTGGCAGCAGAGTGTGTAAAACAGACTGGCTGAACATTATTGCATATATAGATAGATAAAATGGTTCACAAATGTGTAATGACCTGCTGCACTCAAGGTGAAGAGAGCTGAGATGACCCCAACATTTAACATACAAAGTCATGCATCCAAGCTTACATATTATACTTTACTTTTCAGCAACGGGACACAGGAGGATGGACAAAACGGAAAATGGCATAGTCTTTGACAGAAAGACAAAAAAAAGAAGACAGCACCATAATAAAATAATAAAGAGAACGATGGTAGAGATATATGGACGTTTGTGCTAAAAAACAAAAAAAACCCCAAAAACCTGACTTTTCAAGATATGATTGCCAAACAAGACACACAGAATCCAGAGATAGCACACCTCTCGTGGTTTGTCTTTGTACAGCTGCACCCTCTTGTGCCACTCATGGATATTATGTGGATTCTGTCTCAGTAGCACCCCATTCAGTAAGAGAGGCCTCCTCTCCATCAGCTGCTCGAAACGGGCTAATCGCAGCTCTAAGTCTATGTCATCTAACAAGATAAAAAGGAAAGCATTAGAAGACTCATAACCAGTGTAAAGAGAAATGCAAAAGTTAAAGCATAACTAAAAGACAAAACTTTTCTTTTTAGTTTTCGATAGAGTGGAGATAGATTAGAACACCTGTCAGTTTTTATTGCGGTCTATTGTTAGGGAGATTCACCCTCTCTATTTGTCCTCTTTACCGTTATCCTCAAAAAAGGGAAAGTAAAATAAAATCCCACATTTTGGGTTGACATCAAAACACTAAGAGAAGGAAAACTTCCAATGGAGACACTAGTTCTGATGATCCTGGTGACACACCAGGATTCCCCCACTTTGGAGAGATTTTCTGGTTTGGTTATGGGACAGTAAGTGGAGGGAAATTTACCCAATGGGACACAGATGGCAAAAAAAAGGGTGGGAAGGAGGGGGTTTATAACACTCTGTTACTCTGTCCAAAATGTGGGGGAACCGCAGTGGCTAAGTGGTTAGCACTTCCACTTGATAGTGCTAGGGTCGTTGGGCTGAATCCCAACCACGACACTACCTGCATGGAGTTTGCATGTTCTCCCTGTGCCTGTCTGGGTTTACTCCCACACTCCAAAGACATGCTGGTAGGTTAATTGGCTCCTGTCTAAATTGGCCTGTGTTTATACACTCCTTGAGAGTTAGGGACTGATATATATGTAAAGCGCTGCGTAAATTGATGGCACTATACAAGTACCTGTAATAAAATAAACAAATAAATGTAACTAAAGACAATACTTTCTTTTTCCACTTTAAGGCTGATTCTTACCTTCCTCTTCTTTTCCCATCTCACTGACAGTTTCCATTTTGGCTGCAATGACGCTCTCTTCAAACTGAGCATAGCTGTCAAACACCTGAGTGAAGTCACGGACAGTGGTGACTGTCTGAATAGCCTCTTCATAAACATCTCGAGCCTGAAAAACCCAAAACAGAATCTCAACAACATGATGTACAGTATGGGGCTAAAAACAATGAATATGGCGGTGAAGTAATTAGATCCTTAAACACCTTGACAAAGTACAGGCATGTAAGGAAGCCAAATATTGGTTTTCCTATTCACCACTGATCTAACTTTGTGTATCTTCTGTAACAGAACTTCTTTGAGCTGTTACAAACCTCCTCATCACCTTCTGTGGATGGTACTGTTTTTCTACACTACAGTGGATAGCAGATTATTATAACTTGGCAACCTAAATACCTAGCCAGGTGTCTACATTTCGTATTTCATTGTATGTGGACTACCTTTTCTTTAAAATCAGCACTGAGGTTCTGTCACTGGTATCTTAATCTGGCCCAGGGACCAGATGCTTTTGGTATGATTCCCACAACAGCATGGTTCAGTAACTTTAGTATTAACATTCGAAGAGGTTAATCTTACAGACTAGAGGTGTGGGGGAGGGACATTTTTTTTTCAGTGCTGGAAGTCCTGTGGTATAAACTATCAGGCACTAGGTCTTTATAACTACAACCAACCTTCTGAGGTTCAAATCCAAAACAGGATCCTATATAAATGATATTTAAAAGCTTTGAGCTTAAGTATCCTCCTATCAATCCAAAAGGATTACTGGGTTAAAGGCATTCTAACCATCACTAAAGTGTGCAGTGTGAGTGCACTTCTGTGACTGCAGTAAACACATCAGATTATAATCCTGACTGGGTCAGAAGTTGATGTGACCAGTCCAACGCTCACTGCTGGACAAAAGAAGCAGACTAGATGATAGGGAATGAACAATAAGCAGTGGTTACCTTTTCAAAATGACCACTCCGGGTATGGTACTCAGCAAGGGCACACCACAATTTCCCCCTCTGATCGGTGAAGCGGGTGAGGCCACCCCGAATAATGGCTCCAGAGTCCAGAGAGCGTACAGATCCTGGGTTCTGTGAAAGGAGGGTACACAACTCCTGCCACAGCTGTAACAGAGAAGAACTGGGTCAGATTTGTACCTCATGTAACCTTTGTCATCTACTGAACCATGAAAGCCCTCTAATACCTATCCTGTAAAGCGAGTTACTCCTGTCCCAGGAATGTGCTATTAATCTTCAACTATCACAACAAAGCAATCACAAGCCAAGAAAGGTCATCGCTGTTTGCATGTATCCGCACATGCAGCAGTTACCTGCAGTTAGAGATGGATGTCTGAGTGATGGATGAATGCATCTGTCCTCATCCAGCAGTGATTTATCCTCCCCTCTCTGCAGATTACCACTGCATGTGTGTTTACCCGTGGACAGCCACAGCCACTGTCAGTTTGTCAGTCATTAATGTGGACAGAGTGGCCACAGCAAATCGTAAACACTACTGATTCTTGCCTCTGACCAACCCAAATCACCTGTATAAATAAAGTCTTATAGATGAAGAGCTGACTGAGATCTTCAAAGTAATTTTAATGCTTGTTCAGAATATTAGCATGCCTGGTCTGATGCAGGTTCATTTTAAAGTATATGAATAGGCAAAAGTTAAAAATCAGTTTGTGAAATAAATACTAATTATTAAGATCACTAACTTTAATTTTCTCAGTGCTTTTTTTATTCATATAAAAAATAACCAGCGATTCTGCCAGTCCACAGTCCTTCCTTCACAAGGTGACAATGCTATTTTGTCAGCAGAGAATTTACTGCAGCATTGTCACTCGTCCCTTAACACTTTCAAACTTTGTTACCACTGATAACCTTTGTCTTCACAGCCAATGCACTGGTCATGCAATTCAATGAAGCACCCTGCATCTGGAGGATGTAGCACAGGGCATCCTCTTAAATCTCACGTCCTAACTCTGGTGATGTGAAGATCTGCACAGTTTCTGCAATGTCACAGGGAGACATATGAGATTATTTTTACCCATAGATAATTAAGAAAACTGTACTAAAAAAAAAAAAAAAAACACCACACACACGGGGGAAATTGGCAGTGAACAATGCAATGTCCAGAGAGGGACTTTAACAGGTTTCAAGCCGGCCACATACACAATACTCTACATCACCTTTGATAATGTGTTTTTACACGAAACGCGTTAGTGAGGTACCCTTTCTCATGGAATACTAACTGCATGACCTACTGTCTACCTCAGATGTAAGTGCTGGTCCTTTTTATCTGTATCTTGATGTTACTCCTTTTTTGATCATTAAACATACTACACTATTGGAGTTCTTTTTCTCTGGGCTCATTTTTTTGGCACCGAGAGTCCTTCCCCTGAAGGTACCTATCTGGATTCCCACCTGAATGTATGATCCCCCTGATGGCTGGAAATTGCACTGCTGGACGCAGCTAACCTAAGATGTTCACACATTGATGGAGAGAGGAAACCAGCCCTGGATAGATGACACCTGGTGAGGCACCCCCACCTGATGACCTCATCCTCATACAGAGTTCCCACCCCGAGTACCTAGGAGTAGGTCTTATATACTCCAACGCACATTAATCTGTGCTATCTGGTTAGTGCATAGTACGCTCATTTCTTCCAGCCACAGCAGTCACGAAAGCTAATTGTTGTTCATTGTGTCACCACAGTCACACTATATCTCATGAACTATATTCAAGACTGTACTTCTGTTGTTTTGTGATATCATTTGTCTACCATAAATACCCATAAATACGCTATAGCGCTGCATTTGTACTATTACTTTTTGGTTACTCTACATCATGTGGTCACAACCGGTTTAAATTTATGATCTGGTTTTTGAAAACCCAACTAATTTGTTTTAATGAATAAAATGTACAAAACAAACAATGGCATGACCATGCCATTAGTGATACCATAATAATCGGAGAACAAATCATGGACATTTCATTCCATTTGCCTTTCAGTTATCAGACTCACCTGGTAGTTTGATTTTCCCTCTTTGGACACAAAATCCTCTTGGTTCACAATGGCTGCCAGTCTAGATGCAGCCTCATCCAATCTGTCCACAGAGCGCAGATACTCGATATACTCCTCTGCATTCTCAGGTGACAGCTGGAAATAAACAAGGAGGTATTACAATGACATCACATGGTTCAGGTGACCTGTAACAATGTTGGCTGTTAGAGTCTAAAATAGCATACCTTTAGGTATCTCCTGTAGACCCTGACTGCTGTCTCTGGAAGGGGGTGAGCACGGACAAATTTCAGGTACAGTGGCCAGATACGATGGTGCTGTGTAATAGGGAGTGCGCGAAGAGCACGGTCAAATGTCCTTCTTGAGCGGGAAATTTTACACTGATCCATAAGAAACTGGCAGTAATCCAGCCAAATTCGAGGCATCTTAGTGGAAGAAAAAAAAAAATAGAATTGAAGACAGTCAAGAAAATGCTGAAAAGCAGGGAAGCCATAAGTGGAAAGAGATCTTAACAGATTGTAAACAGAAATACGAATTGGAACTGAAGGTGTTATCCATAGTAGAAAAATTCTTGTCTATTTACCTATGTGGTGCCAACATATTGCGCACATTTATATGAAGCACACAGAACCATTCACAAGACGCGTGTTCCTGCAACTCTTCCACAAGTACAAAAATCGACTGATATGGTCAAGTTTCAATCACTCTTTCAGTGTGTCTGTGGGCTTTGGAAGGAAATCCAACTACCCAGAGAAAACTCATGAAAACACAGAGAGGAAACAGAAATTCTAGGCAGATAGTATTTCTGGAGGAATTTCATTGGAAACAATGAAATGGTTCAAAACATCAGGTGGCAGCTGGCAATTGTTCAGCACATTGTCAACCTGGTAATTATCCAGTCCTCATTAAAAGTTTTACCTTGTGCATGAAGACAAGAGCTCGCTCATGGCAATTATTTACTTCTTCAAAGGCTGGGTCGGTTAGGCATCGCCTCTTCACCTGCTTCCTGCGCTGTTTTAGGTAAGCATACCATAATTTGTAACTAGAAGAAAAAAAACGTTTAAAAAAAAAAAATGAGACTATGTTGAACTGGTACAAGGACATTAAACTGGTCCATTAAAGTGGTTGTGTGTTATAATGTAAACTGCTTTCAGCATTACTCCACAATGGCCATCAGAGGTCACATTGTCATGAAACTCCCTACTGCTGGCCATTTTCCTTATCTACAGGGAGAATGGAAGAAAATGTCGCTTTGACAACTACCTCCCAAACCTCAGCAAAACAAACACGAACAAGTCCCCACCGTCAGGGAAAGGAGAAGCAATTTCTTCATAAAGACATAGACTATCTTAACCTCCCTGGAGGTATTCCCGAGTGTAGCTCGGGGTAAAGTTTCAGCACCACAAGCGGTAACCCCAAGATACACTCGGGAATACACTGCAGCGTTGCTCCAGGATCTCTTCTGCACTTACCTTGTCCTGCGCTCCCGCGATGTCCTTCCTGCAGTGTCCCCGGCAATGTCCTCCGGCCGATGCCAGCATCTCCTAGATTGTAAGCTGCAAGGAGCAGGGCCCTCCTTTCCCTCTTGTATTGAACTGTATTGTCGCTGTATTGTCTCCCATTATATTGTAAAGCGCTGAGCAAACTGTTGGCGCTATATAAATCCTGTGTTATAATAATAATAATCTGTCTTCCAGGTTCCGTTCCCTGCGACATCGGGACGTACGGGGGACGTAACTGGAGGGAAATTTAAAAATGTTAAAAAGTGACATTCACTAAATACACTAAAATCACATAGTATAACATTACTGTATCAAACCATTTCACATACATTTTATCCCGAATGCTTTGTCCGGCGCCCTGCCTGCATTTTTACCGTTCTTTCTGCCTTGAAACTGAGAAACATCCATGGCGTCCAAAAAGCGTCCCTTTTAGGTCAAAAGCGGTTTTAGACCAGCTAGAGAACAGCGATAGTAAATCAGAACCACTTGCAGAATTGAGTGATAATGATTCGTGGGGAAATTCATCATCAGACACTGAAAATGATTACGCGACTTTGCTCAGTGATGTGCGAACTTGGCGCTATATTTCAAATTTCAATGTTTTTGGTTTGATTATATTATTGAATTAAATGTATTATTATTATATTATTTTTTTTATGATTATTTATTAAATTATAATTTATGATTTCGTGTTTCAAATTTTAACATACCTGGGATGTTTACTACACTCTTGTTCGGACAGATTTCAGTGAGTTATTCCTAAAAATTACAGGCCTACAATAAAAAAACTACATATTTTCCATGCAAAAAAAATTTACCGCCTTGAGCACAGAAATACTGACATAATCAGACCACTAGGGAGGTTAATACATCACCTTTTCAAGCTTACTTTAGAAAAGGAAATTATGGAGTGCCCCCCAATGAACAATAAGGCCTTGTATATAAAGGCTTCAGATTGTATAAGAGCAGAATGTACAGCAATTTTCTTGAAGCTTTAATGAAAACTTTAGTTCCAGTGAATGGATATTAAACAGAGATGACAATGAAAGTGATCTTGAGGAAAATCTGCTTTATTTTACCCATTCAGCAAAGATAAGGATAACATCCCCAAGGCTTACACTTGAAAAAAACATCACTGGCAGTTCCCATACTTCTATCTTAGGGTTCAAGTGGAAGTAGGGCTAATATACTTAACAGGGCAACACAACTTTTGAGGGGAAAAAAAAACAACAAATAAAAAAAAATAATAATATAATGCATACAATTGCAACATGTTGTGATTGAATGTTATTAAAAATTACCTTTCCTTTTCAATCTGCAGCACTGTCATTTTCTGTAAAATGCAATGCAATACGGCTACCTGGAGGCATTCTGTACACAGAAAGTTTACAGAACGCCCCCAGAAAAATGTTTTGCTTGTGTGATTGGCTCACTGATTTTCCCAGAAGTCTATACTAAGATACAAGTCAGATTTTTGGCATCCCCTGCAACAAAAATGTCATTTTTGATGAGATACTCCCAAAGAGCGATCCTAAAAGGATGCAGACCCTGCAACTTTCCTCAGAGCCCTGCAGGTGCAGCAGCTGATTGAGAATTATGAATCCACCCCCATACAGATTCACTCTGCACATAGACACAGACAAACAAACAGTTCTTTCTTCAGAATAAAAAAGGTAGGACTATGCAAGAAAGATTGTTGAAATCCTTGATGTACATGGATAACCCAGAGAGGAAATATTTTTTTTTTCCTCAACAAAAGTGGAGTTACTTTTTAAGGCTTAAAATGCAGCTTTCCCCACTCCACATACCCATGCTGACTACAGTTTCTCTGTGTAAATACCATTTATAAGTCTTTTAATGCTGTCATACGATCTCTAAGCTGCGACTCCCCTGTGTTGGTGGCTGCTGCAGCTGACACAAGAGGCAATGGAAGCCATCAGGTAACGTCACAGCTCTGGGAATTTAGCCCCTTTGTCAGACTGCTCACTAACACAGAGGAGATGCAGATTCGAGATCGTGTGACCATACCAAAGGACATTAAACAAAAAAACATTATTTTAGAGATCACGTGACCACACCAAAGAACACTAAAAACAGTATAAAAAGAGAAAACATGGGATTTTGGGCTTATTTAAATCATACTTACCTAGGTGGAAGCAGCATCGGTCTGTTTTCACAGCTGCTCTGCCCCCCCAGCACTCACTGGAGCACTGGGCTGTGGATGTGGAGGGAGCAGCTGGCTCAGGCTCTCAGCGGATCGCTGAAAGGCTAAGCCAGGAGCCACTCCAGACTCTGGGGTGGATCCCGAGTTTAAAGTCGGGATTTTCCCAAGCCTGGACTGGCTGAGTGATGTCAGCCAAAAGCAGGTTTCAACTCGCTGTCAGCTGAAAACAGGTCACAGGAGTGCAGAATGAACTGCACTCCTGTGATCCACAGGAGGAGTACAGCCAAACTTTGGCTGTACTTCTCTTTTAAGTTATTTTACAAACTGTAGGAAGCATGGGTATGAGGAGGGGGAAGCAGTGTTTTAAACCTTAGGTATATTAGCCTTTACTACCACTTTAAGTAAGTCCTTTAAACATCTTATCAAAATAGATTGTAAGCAGATCATCTTTCTGTTCACCTTCCTGGCAGCTCCTTTAGTGCTCTCTCGTATATCAGGTTAAGTGCATGTGCTGAAGCCGATTGCTTGAATTCAATATATCGCATCCAGCACTTGACTGAATACGGGTTACGCAGGATCTCCTCTTCATACTGAAGGTCATCCTCCTCCTGTGTATAGAAACAAATATCAAAGCTTGGTTTACACACCTGGAGTAAAAGTGTGTTATGAAATAAAGTCCATTGGTAGTTTGAAAACAGGGTTTAAACAGAAAAAAAAGAAACTATGAATAAATCTGAATATTTATTCTTAAAGTGGCAAAGTATTTATTCTTAAATAATGTTCTCTGAATGGCGTCGTGACGTCAGAGCCCCTCCCCTACAAGTTACAATGAAGCCACGTGACCCGGAGGCGTAACGCGTAGGGGAGGGGCTCTGACATCACAAAGCCATTCAGAGGACACACACGGCGAGTACAGTTAGTGTACTAAGCACACACAAAAGAAAAACTTGTTTCAAAAAGCGTAATTAATTTTAATTAATGTTAGTGGATATATATGGAGCACTAATAAATAATTTTGAAAAAGGATAAGGCACTATATATTAATTATTTTGCATGATAACCCACAATATGGAGGAATAAAAAGGAGAGGTGAAGGAAGTGCAAAGACCCCTGGAGGACAGAGGGAGAAAATACATCCATAATACAAACAGGGATCAGCAAGTCCAGGAGACCCCTGTGGGAAAAGTGCAATATTACATCCAACTACCCATCGTTTTGGAATACGGTCAAAGCATGAAAATCACCTTCTTGTCCACATAAGGACACAAAGCTATTTTAGCCTAACTTTACAGTTTGGATAAAATTAAGGTGAGCGCATAATTAAGAAATATTCATTTATATTCTGATTACAATCACAGAGTGGACATTTTTTTAAATTTTTTTTTATTTATTGATTTGGGCACCATTATGTGAATTGAACACTAATTATTTAATACACTTGATATTTTTTATTTTTAATATTTTTTATTTTTATCCAGGTAATATTTTTTCACTATATAAAAATATTTTTTTGGGGCATCTTAAATTGATTATTTATAGTAATATATTTTATAACAGCACATATTGCACTTTAAAAATACAATAAGGTTTATTAAATTTCACTTGTATTTAAATATTGATTTTTTTTTTTTCAAAATAATAATTATTTATTCACAATAATAATAATTTATTCACAGTGGAGCGCAGCACAAATTTAAGATGGCACTTCACTTTCCAAAAAAGGAAGGTGTATGTGTGAGGTCAGGCAGGTAATAACTGTCAGATTTCAGGAGACCTCTGACACATGATTTTTAAGCTACAGTAAGAACTGTACTGACCTACCCATTTGCTCCTCCAGAAATGACATACAAAGCTGTCCCACCAATCTGTCTGCTGGTGCTGCTATCGTCTCTGCGTCCTCCCGGTCCCACATCTCTCAATGCTACCCATTGAGCAGCCACTTCTGATTTGCCCATGGCCCTATCTGGTTATTCTTTTGCTGCTTGTGTCCTACTGGAGAGATTTCCCTTCACTTCTTGCCTTGTAGATGTAACAGGAAGCAAGAGTAAATTTCCCCAAATTTAAGGGAGCTTCCCATCTAAAGCAGTTGTCATTGGAAAATTTGCTTGTATTGGAAGATTTCTCCTCAGCTCTTACTCGAGGATTTTCCTTTGCTGTCTGTTTCGGTGATAATAGTCACTGAGACAGACAGCAATGTTCATGAAGAGAAATCTCTCTAGTGGGACAGAGATGACCAAAAAAAAAAAACGAAGTGGTTTTACCAATTTCCTACTCTATCCAAAATGAGAGAAAAAAGGTTTTTGATTAGGATACACTTTAGACCAATATTTTGTGTGTTTTTATCCTTCTTGGTTGATGTAGCTGGCAGTGTGTCCCTTGCCTATATACTTTCAGCCAAAAGGCATCCCTCTGCCTCCTCTTAGGGGTTGCGCAGAGTGGTGGCCAAGTGGTGGTAAAAGCAGGTGGTAGAGCTTCAGTTGTACCACCCCCTCAAACACAGAAATGCAGTGAATCAGGGCTATGAATAAGCTGTGGATGGAGTGAAACCGAGGTTGCAGCACCAAGTGGAACAGTCTGTGCATTTGAGTAAACTTCCAGGAAACCTTTAATGGAGAGTGGTTTTATTTTCTCTAAATGTAGCACTCAGGACTGTACATATGCCATGGCTATGATGCATTGCTCCAAGGGCATGGCAAAAATCACACAAGAACTTCAGTTTTGTTTTTTGTTTTTTATTTTTAAGTCAGCAGCTGCAAATACCATAGCCGCTGACATAAAAATCAAGTACTTACCAGTGTCTAGGGTCCAGAGCTGTCTTCCCACAGCAACTACTTCTTACCATTGCAGGCCCTTGGTGCCACCATGGCTTCCAGAGGAACAACAGCCGGCTCCCTACTGTACATGTGCAAGCTCCTGTGGCACACTGTGAATGGTCCTGCAGCCTTCTGGGGCATGCGACAAGGGGGGAGGGCAAGGATGTCATTCTAGCCTAGGCTAAGATTGCAGAAGTGGGAGCTGATGCCAATAAATATCAGCACTCAACTCCCCCCCCCCCCACACACACAAAATCCTGCTACTCAGTTACTGCAGGCTGGGGGGAGGGAATGCAACAGGGAATGCAACAGCCAGATTCCACTTTTTGATTGAAGTTCCTCTTAGGGCTCCTAATTGTAAGCTCCAAGGAGCAGGGCCCTTGAACCCCTCGTGTATTGTATTGTTACTGTATTGTCTCATGTATTGTCCCCCACTATAATGTAAAGCACTGAGCAATCTGTTGGCGCTATATAAATACTGTGTAATAATAATAATACGGCAGTTCCGATCAGGTCCGTCTATCAGTTTCCCAGGAGGACCTGATTGGAAGGTCCATTCATCTCTATTGACCAGGGGTATAAACAGATTTGTGTTTCCATTTGTGTTTATCATTCCTACCTCCAGGTTTAAAAAAAAAACAAAACAAAACAAAACAGAAGGGGATCTGTCCTCTTCTGTAAGTGGATGGGATTAGAAGGTAGTCGGGGGTATAAACGGACAGCGGCCACCCCCACAGAATGGGTGCATCATCCTCCCGCTCTGCTCAGCAGGGGATCAGTTATGACTCCAGCCATTTGATGGTTTGACAGTTCGGATGGAAACACAAGCAACTGTGACAGTTAGCATGCCAAGAATGTAACTTTTTTTTAAACTTTAAGCCCCCGGTCACATCAAGCCCAACTTTGAAATCGTGCGACTTATGCAGGCCATTGAGGGGTTGAAAATCGGCCGATTTTTCTGCTGAGGGAAAAAAAAAAAAAAAAAAAAAAAAAAAATCGGCCGATTTTCGCACCGTTAATGGGTTAATTGGTTGGCCGTTTTTCAGGGTTTTGGCACTTTTTTTATCAGTAAAGTTGGAAAAAAATCGCCCGATTTTGCCGATCGGCCGATTTTCCCGGCAATGATGGGCAAATCGGCCAATTGTTTTACGGATAAAAAATCTGCGCATGAGCGGTGACCTGTAAGAAGAAGAAAAAGAAGACTAAGAAAAAGAAGGCGAAGAAGAAAAAGAAGACGAAAAAGAAGAATTCCAGTCCGCTATTATGTTTGACATGAAAAAGTATTGCGGTTGCAACAATGTATCTATTTGTATCCAAACAAAAACATCTGTATCCGAAATGGATACAAATAGATACATTGTTGCAACCGCAATACTTTTTCATGTCAAATTTAATAGCAGAGCTCTCTGCAGGGACAGAAGTAATTAAATGCCGGCCGTAGACGGGACAAATATCGGCCGATTTTTTTTTACCGTTGGTAAAGTCGGCCTATTGAATAAACGATTTTTCTTTTTTTTTTTTTTTTTTTTTTTTTTTTTAACGGCTGGTTTTCGACCCGTCCATGGCCTGCATTACAGTGAAGTTGCATAATTTAAATGTCAGGTGACCTGCTGATTTCAGGTGCGATTAGCAAAACATCTGACACAAATGTCTATGCAAACTGCATGAATGTAGTGCATGTGCTACTTTAGAAATCGGTGCGGCTCCAACCAAGTCAGAACCACACTGATATGAACGCTGTAATAGCGGACAATAGGGTGCGACTTGGCATAAGATTTGCAAGTCGCATGGCATGCAAATTGAATGCCAAGTGTGACCGGGAGCTTAAAGGATAAGTTCACCTTTGGAACATGTTACATGTTCCATCCTTTTTTTTCACATGTTCCACCCGTAACGCGTAACCCGGCTGCCCGCATCTCCCCCTCCCTGACAAATAATACGAGGAAACTTTTCCCCATACTATCTGTCAGATTTGAAAACAGCATGGCCTTGCAGGGCTCCGCCCACATGGCTGCATCATTCATTATTGGACTTCCGTGAAAGAATGAACTGGAAGTCCCAACAGCCTTAGCAGCTGTGGGCTTGTAGATTTCAATGACCTACCAGGGCCCTGTGGAGTGCTGTGGTAGTTAATTGAAGATTCCTGTCAGAAAATCTGCTTGACCATACATCCCGTACAGCAAGCAGATATTCCGACAGGTCTGCAGGAGACCTGCATGGCACCAGCCATCTACTGATCACTGGTGCAATGCTTTCCAGGCTCCTTTGGACGAAAATAATAAATGTACATTTTTTTTACCTGAAAAATAAAAGTGCTTTTTTTATTTTTGTCCAAACTATGAACTTATCCTTTGAATCGATGGGTTTAGTTCCGCTTTAAGCGTGACGTGGAAAGTATCTGCTCATTCAGCGTAATATCTTTTACATTATACCAAAATATTTAGTACTACATTGTGTTTGTGTGCCCTAAAATTACCTTTATTTAGGTATTGTGTTTTTTACTGAAAGTTTGCATTTCATAAACTGTTGCGCTAAAATCATGTGATGTAAACAATTGGAACAACCACCATTTCATTCTCCCGGGCATTTGCTTTCAGGAAACATATCATGTCTGGGGGTTGTAATCTTCAGGCCTAAAATTATTTTTTTTTTTAATGTGTGGAAAAAAAAAATGCAGAAATGGATGCTGCTGGGAAAGGGTTAAAACAGCACAGCGCATTCGGCGGGCGGTAACACTGGTGAACGCGACCAATTCAAACGAATGGGGCTGTGCCACAAAGCAATGCACCCAGTGGGTTAAAGCAGACGGTGAGGAGGGAACACATCACCTGCTCACTGCATGTTAAACACCCTCTGAAAAGCGATCCAATATTGGTTGTCTTTCAGAATGGCGGCAATAATAGCCGCCTGTGTGAACGAGCCCCGATAATGGTGGGAGGTGTGGAGGGGAAAAAAAAAGCAATTTGTTTACATTAAAGCCAGTGCCAGAATACAACATTCATACCATGGTGGTCTTGGATATAGACCATGGGTTCACCCAGCCCCTCCTGGACTTGCAATCAGGCAGGAGGGAAGCAGAGTGACTGCAGAGCTAGAAGGAGATAAACCCTCCATGACTCCAATCCCCGAGGTGGTCCCATGCCCCCCACAGCCCGTCCCTGCCGGCACTTACGATCAGGATCTGCTTGTCTGGCATGTTATGATTCTCAGGGCTCAGGAAAATAGCGTCACTTCCGGGAACCGTCCCTTGAAGCGATCCGACGTACGTCTGACGTAAGGGACCTGGTGGTTCTTCCGGGCTGCGAGGACTTGGCGGCCATTTTTCTTGTGGGCTTTTGTGTAGTTTTATTGGAGTTGTGCAAGTTGTGGTAGAGGTGGCCAGACATAACCAGTCCTTGTTATGACTCCAGAACCTCACCAATAAAGTTCTCTTTTCTAAGTGAAGATAGATGTGTTTATTAACATTATACTGGAGGAGCACGATGGCAAAGTGCTGGTGAACAGGACAGCTGGGGTTGTCACCTCATCCCTTTAAACCAAACACATTATTTACACAGGTTCATTTCAATGCATACAAGGCACTAAGCGATTTTAGCCAATTTCCCCTCCAGAGGATTCCCCCCACCTTCCTGACCAGGCCATCAAGCCATTACGGGAACTATTTTTAATTTCCTGTTGCCATAAAGGTTTTGCATAAAGCTGATCATTATAGGCACCCCATCAGTGGTACATGGTTTGTCTAACTGCTACTTTGTCTGGACAGCTTGGTCTGTTAAATACTTGCCCCCCGGAGGATTTGCCCCCCTTCCTGACCAGGCCATTTTTTGTGTTATGGAGTTGCGTTACTTTGACAATTGCGCAGTCATGCAGCACTGCACCCAAATTAAATTTACGTCCTTTTGTCCCCATGAATAGAGCTTTCTTTCGGTGGTATTTGATCGCCTGTGCGGTTTTTATTTTTTGGTTTATAAAAAAAAAGACCGACAATTTTGAGAAAAAATATTTTTGAAATTTTGCTATTAACCTCCTTAGCAGTATTCCCAAGTGTAGCTCGGGGTAAAATTTGAGTACCAAGAGGGTAACCCCGAGCTACACTTGGGCTTACCATGCGGCGTTGCTCAGGGAGAACCGACAGCAAATTTGACATTTTTAAAAAATGTCATTTTTTTTAAAATGATTATTACATAGTAAAACATTAGTGTATCAAACCATTTCACATACATTTTGTGCTTTGTCCTGTGCCCTGTCTACATTTTGACTGTTCTTTCTGCCAGGAAAGTTAGAAATGTCCATGACATCCAAAAAGCGTCCCTTTAGGGCAAAAGCGGTTTTAGACCGGCTAGAGAACAGCGATAGTAAATCAAAACTACTTGCAGAATTGTGTGATAAATGATTCGTGGGGAAATTCGTCATCAGACACTGAAAATGATTTTGCAACTTTGCTCAGCGATGTGCGAACTTGGCGCTATATTTAAAATTTCAGTGTTTTTGGTTTGATTATATTATTGAATTCAATTTATTATTATTATTATATTATTATTTTTTATGATTATTTATTAAATTATAATTTATGATTTCATGTTTCAAATTTTATCATACCCGGGATGTTTACTAGACTCTTGTTCGTACAGATTTCAGTGAGTTATTCCTAAAAATGACAGCCTACAATAAAAAACTACATATTTCCATGCAAAATAATGATACCGCTTTCAGCACAAAAAATCGGAAATAATCATACCGCCGAGGAGGTTAAACATGTCCAGTAAAAAAAAATCAAATTTTGTCATAAATTTAGGCCAACATGTATTCTGCGACATGTCTTTGCTAAAAAAAAAAAATCCCAGTATGTGTAAATTAATTGGTTTACATGAATGTTATAGCATTTACAAATACTGGAATTTTTTTTTTTTTTACTTGCAATGGCAGTGATCAGCGACTTATAGTGGGACTGCGGTGGGCATTCTGACACTGGGGGGAAATGACTTGGTGTCATTGACATCCCCAGTGACACCAATACAGTGATCAGTGCTAATAAAAAGCACGAGACAGCAGGAAGGGGTTAACATGTGGGGAGATCAAAGGGTTAACTGTGTGTCTGTGCTTTACACTGTAAGCACACTGCTTTGTTTGGCTGTGCTATGCAGAGCCATACAAAGCAGTATGCTGGAGCTGACAGGGGAGAGATCTGTATTGTTTACATACAAAATGGGAAGTTCCGCTTTATGCCTTTGTCCCCCGCTCCCTATTAAGGATTGGCACCTTTGAGGAGCGGGTACTCGAATTTGACAGGTACCCGCTCCCACTTCCGCTGCGATCGCCTAGGCGATTGGAAGTGGAAGTTGTCTCCCCCCCTCCCCCCATCCGTCCCCATAGTCTTCTGTGACACGTAATAGTTCCCAGAAGATTACAGGGCCATTCACAAAGCACAGAGCTTCTCGCACATGTGCAGTGGGCACCCATCTGTGAAGCCGCAAGCTGTCACAGGCGGGTGCCCACACTAAAGATGCCAGCGCCAGAAAGAGAAGACGGCCGATGAAACCAGCGGTGGTGAGGACACTGCTGGACTGAGGAACAGGTAAGTGGCTGTATTTTAAAAGTCAGCAGCTACAGTTTTTGTATAGTTTTTGTAGCTGCTGAATTTTATTTTATTTTTTTTTTCATCTGGAATTCCACTTTAATAGCGTTTTTGGCTTGTGGTGCTCAGATGCAGCGTAGTTCCACTTTAGCGGTTTCCCACAACAGTTGCATTCAAGGCATGCTGGGAATGATCACTGTCACAGTGACTTTTACTCTCAACTGAACTGTCAAACTATCAAATGGTTGAGGTCATACAGGGAGGGGCTAGCTAGAACTCAACTAATTTGTAGTGCCTCTAAACCACCAGTAGATGTCAGAATACTACAGACTACAATGCTACAATAACCTGATGCAGCTCAGTAAAGCACAGAAAAATTACTCAAAAGTGAGGCAGAAGAGGATGTAAAAGGAACTTTGCGACTGGCTAGTAATGAGCACAAGTCCTACCCCAGCTCGTGTCCTGCTAGAACACTGTCCCTCCTGCTGAGGATGAACCCTTTGCCATATTGTGCCCACTTCATGCCAGATGCCTCCAGAGGACATTCCTGCCTATTGACCTTTATTCCCCAAGAAAAGAATGTCCACACATGAATGTGGTTGCTGCACTTTACTGATGGTATTTAGGAAATGGCATAACAGTCACATCTCATTCACATACATTCTCGAGTCACTTGACATTACATAGTCAATCACATTGTTGTTGCATGGACAGTCCGCAGCAGTCACATGTGAAAGTATATGCAGCACTTTAGCAACAGCAGTCTCTCCCTTCAAGTCCCACTCCACAGCTCTACCTAGCCAGGTATGCTCCCTGCAGTTACTTTCTCTCCCAGAGTCATTAGTACTCACGCAGAGGGCTCTGACTTGCCCACTGGGCTTTAGGTATCCAGCTCACAACTCTGCTTTAGTCATTCCAGAGGCAGGGTTGCTGCAGTTGCTCCTACTGAACTCTGTACACGTTTCCTGGGATTTCTGCCCTGAGAAGGGCCTTGGCTGTGCTGCCTACATCTGCATAGGTGCGGGGTACTTGGCTCCCATGGCCCATCTGCTCTAATGCAGGCCATACATGGGTCGAATAATTTTTAGTCCAAAAATCAAAAACATCATTTGCTCAGTGATCCGATGGTGCCATCAATGATTTCAAAAATTGGCCAACCAAGTCATAAAGTTCACCCCCATATAACAGGCGAAACTTCTGTTTCTTCCAGGTCACGGCTCATGCGCATATGAGGGGAGGAACCACAGAAATCAGCCGGTGCCACTGACCTACTTACAGAATGATAATGGGCCGATTATTCTTAGGTCTGATTTTCGGACGAAAAATCGGTCGAATTTCGACCCATGTATGGCCAGCATAAGGCTGCGCCCCACCTGGCTTATATAGGGGTGCTGCCCCACCCATGACATCACGAGGGCTGTACCTACAAGGGGCCCAGAACCCGATCACACTGTCTGCTGTAATCAGCAGGACTTTTTTTTCTCAGAGAATAGGTGCAGGTACTTCCCCTTCCATGTCATCCTTTGTCTTCGCCCCCTACCCACCTCCTAGCACCATCCATTTGTTCCACCTCCTAGCCACCTCCCATTACCGCCCCTTTTACAGAAAATAGAACCAAGTATCATTTTGTGCAACTAAGTAATTTGTATGGAATTTGTTAATGATAACAGGAAAATCAGTAAAATAGATCCCCTGCAGCCAGCAACAATAGTGCTGCCCCCCAACAATAGATCTCTCCAGGAACAATTGATCCCCCCAGCAACAATAGACCCCATGCAACAAAATACCCATCAGGAACAATAGATCATCCACACAAACAAAAGACCCCACCAGGAACAATAGATCCCCACACAAACAATATACCCTATCAGTAACAATAGATCATCCACAAAAACCAATGGACCCCACCAGTAACAATAGATCCTCCACACAAACAATAGACTCACATCCGCAACGATAGATTCTCCACACAAACAATAGACTCCCACCAGCAACAATAGATCCTCCACACAACCAATGGACCACCACCAGCAACAATAGATCATCCGCACAAACAATAGACCCCCATTAGCGACAATAGACCCTCCACACAAATGATAGACTCCCACCGGTAACAATAGATCTTCCACACAAACGATAGACCCCCCCGCCAGTAACAATAGCTCCTCCACAAAACAATAGACCCCACCAGCAACAATAGATCTTCCACACAAACAATAGACATCCACCAGTAACAATAGATCATCCACACAAACAATACCACCAGTAACAATAGATCATCCACACAAACAATAGACACCCACCAGTAATAATAGATCATCCACACAAACAATAGACACCCACCAGTAACAATAGATCATCCACACAAACAATAGACCCCCACCAGTAACAATAGATCATCCACACAAACAATAGGCCCCCACCAGTAACAACAGATCATCCACACAAACAATAGACACCCACCAGTAACAATAGATCATCCACACAAACAATAGACATCCACCAGTAACAATAGATCATCCACACAAACAATAGACACCCACCAGTAACAATAGATCATCCACACAAACAATAGACTCCCTCCAGCAACAATAGATCTTCCAGCAGCCAAAATTAAAGCCCCTCCCTCCAACAGTAGATCCCTCCCAGCAAAAATTGCC